AATAATTGCCATCATGGCTTTGTCAATCTGCTGCCTATCTTTGTGAAGCAGACTAATACAAAGAGAATCCAGTAGAACTTTTTATTGCCTACCTGGAATCATTGACAATGGTTGAATAAACTTTTGAATCCCAAAATGGTATCGGTGCCCTATTTGTTGGTACTTGCCAATACCGATACCACCATTTTAGTGCTGGATCAGGGCCCCGCCCGATACTGGTATCGGTGCAACAATAGTATTTAATTTAATCTCTTGCCATCAATTCTCCTCAGCCTCAGTTTTGTACCTCAAATTACATTTAGCATGTATTTTGTCTTTGTGTTCTATTTTAATCTTTATTCTCTAAAAACCATTACTTCTCATCTGTATCCCTGCTTAAAAAAAATTATGCAGGTGTTCCTCTGTTTACAAAATAGGTTAATTCTGAATGGATATTATTTGAAGTCCCCAGGCTGAATGAAAATACAACAATTTAAAAAAAAAATATTATCAGTAATTTACATTTGTCTCTCAAATTGAGTCTAAGTAAAACATGTAACATAACAAAACACAGAAAGGTAGTTATTGCATTAACTCTATTGTATTCTTTCACACCATGTTAGTTATTAGATAAAAAAATAAAAAGGTTTGAATATTGCTGCAGCCAATTCACATTAAATAACCTTTGGTCTTAATGTATGAATCCCACAAACACCTGTGTGCAGATTGCATCAAAATGATTCTATCAGCTAAGAAATGGAACTGCAGCAAATTATTCAAAATTTTAATCATCTGCATATAAAATACAGTAATGTATATGTCAAAGCAAGCCTGATAAAAAAAAAAACGCTTCTGTTCACAGAATCTATGCAAAGAGCTTCACCAGAAAATTGATAAGGTCGATGAAGAGCGCTACGATTTTTCTGCCAAAGTGGCAATAAATGACAAAGAGGTAAGTAATTCAGCTCCAGCTGTAATATCTTATGATAGTTTTCTAAAATAATCTAACAGATATTTCTTCAATACGGTAAAACATAGAAAGGAACTGCACTAAAAACAGTTAATAATCAATGAAATTATGTCTGCTGCATGTTTTTCATTAGAAAGTGGACAGTTTTTGTTAATTCAGACACTTCTTTTTAAATTGTTAAGAATAGCTATAGTCTACTAATTGCTATATGTTGCAATAACCTCTTTAAAACAGGATAGATGAATACTGTAGATATTGCTGAGCACAGCATTCCTGAGATGTTTATTCTTGCTGAGATTATGCTGGCTTTTGATGTGTTGCCTTTGTCTTTGTAGAAAAGGGGGAAAAAAATCAATTGCAGACATATTTGAGAGACAATTGAAATCAACAAACACCATGGACATTTAAAAACCTGGTCATTGTTAAAAATATGTATATTTTTTTGTTTTGCACAAAGATACAGAACTTGTCTCTAAAGATCTTTGAGCTGAAGGGCAAGATGAAGAAACCAAATCTTAAGAAGGTGAGGATGTCTGCAGGAGCCATGCTGGGAGTTCTGCTGGGTGCGAAGGTAAAAGAGTCTGTGGACTTCAAGGCAAACCTAAAGACTGTGAAGAAGGAGGAGGAAAAGGTAAGGATATATAGTGGAATGTGTATGTAAGATGGCGATAAACCATTTCAACTGTTTAAAGGAAAACACGGTTATATATAAAACATAATACTAATAATAGGTGAATTTTAGAACCTTTAATCCCAAAAAGGTAAAAAAAAATTAAATCAAAATGAAATGCATCCGCGTTAATAAGCATGCATCTGCATTCTGACTGAGCATAAAATCATCTTCGATGTTTATTTAAAATGAACGGATTTAAATCTGTTCCACTGTCCTGCAGAAAGAAGAGGTGACCGACTGGCGTAAGAACGTGGACGCCATGTCTGGGATGGAAGGGAGGAAGAAGCTGTTTGATTCTGCCCAGTAGATTTGTGATTATTGTCGGAGTAATCATTGTTGAAGGGCTACTGATATGTACTCTAGATTCAGTTCATGTTGTGATCAATTCTAATACAGTTTGTGTTTGTATATGATTAAGGTGACCTTGCTGGGATCATTGTTGTTGAATACACACTAATGTATTATGGTATTCAGCTCTCTTGTGTGTCTATATGTCACCTAAGTAATATTACCTCATTATTAAACCACTTCTTTAGCACTGGCTTAAAATACAAATAGGCATAGAACAGTAAATATAAAAAAGTCTTAAGGTTATCCAAAAAACTTTGTACTTTTTTCTGTTTTACCGGATTGAAAGTCAATACACATTCTTATTGCAGTTTATACTAAAATCAGTCAATAATGCTTCACTCTAAGGTTTTGTATCCTTCAAAATATATGGGAAGTTACTGTGAATTATTGAGATAAAACAGTCTTATGATTCATGTCTAAATAAATACAACTTTGAAGCACAGTTTAGAAAGCTGTTGTTTTAAGGGGAACAAATGCCTGTTTATCCTTCAATAAACCTCCAGTATGTTCGCTGTATTTACTTGTTGTCCAACCTAAAATGTTGTTATTCATATATTAGACCTGTTTTTTTCATTTATATGTCCAACATTTTAATATTTAAACAGCTTTCTGTTCTCTACAAAAGTGACAATAAAACTATATAATTATTTCTGACTTTGTATATTCTTACCTTGGTTTCTGTAAAGGTTTCTCTTAAGGTCTGATATAATTTGCATTTATAGGACTGTTTTATGGTGCTTAGTGTAATATAAACACCATGAGAACACTCTGCATTCATGTTGTATAGCACTAAAGTTTAAAATGTCTCAATTTGCCTTACTGTACATTGCACTCTTTCTTATTGAACAAAATGAATGTTACCATTGGCCTGATTAATAAGCTAAAAGAAACAGCAGTAGGCGGAATGAAGTGGCTAGTGGTGCATAGGTTGGTATCTTATAAATAGCTTAGAGCACTAAAATAAAATGCTATTAAAAGATGTAGGGGACCTGACATGACCATATTTTAGTTCATATTGTTGATACTGAAGACTGGTTGCATCTTGGTTGGTTAATTCTACAGTAAACAACATCCAATTGTAGCAAATAATCGTTTTTAGCTCCTGAGTCAATGCTTTGTAGAACTACTTTTTTGCAGTTTCATGTTTTGTATTTAAATCTCATTGTCCTTCTGTACAGATCTTAAGCCTTTGCACCCTCTACGATGTGTTATTTCTGGATCATCCTGGATTTATCTTCATGTGCCCGACGGCTCTGATCATCTCTCCTGTCTTTTTTGCAGAAAGCATTCCCTAAGCATGATGCTACCATCAACATGTTTCACCATTAGGATGGTGCAATCAGAGTGAAGTCAAGTCAGTTTTCTGGCACTCTTCTGACACACAGGCAAACTGTATTCAATAATTAGTTTGATTGTAGATGTAATTTGGTGCATTGGGTTTTATTTGATGCTGTCAGAGTAAAAGGGGCTAAAGCGAACACTCCTCTCAACTGTGTTCATTGTTTTATGAAATAATTCTTAAAGCATGCGATCTTCTTCCTTCCCCTCATGATTATGGACTAATTTGTGTCGGCCAACATCCTTTTCATCCAAATAAAATATCAATAATTTATGTGCTTATGTTGTGAAAAATTCATAGTGGAAGCTTGAAGGTTCTTTGCAAAATTTCCACAATATCCCCACTGTGGGACAATAAATGGACTATTCTATTCTAAAATTTAAAAAATGAATCCTAAATATTTGTTAATGTTATATTTGTTTCCATAAATTGTCCTGTGGTGTAGAGCATTGGTTCCCAAATTATTCAGCTTCTGATCTGTTGATCCACAACTCAAACTTAAGTAATAGAAGAAGGTGTTGGGGGTAGCAGTACTTTGGTAATGTACTGAAATGTTTGTGGAGTATTTGGGTGGTGTACGGAAGAGGATTAAGGCCACTGGAAAGAAAAAAAAAAAGTTAACTGTTAGTTAACTGATTCTTAAATTTTATTTCAGTATTTCATGATTCTGACTTTAATCTCATAATTCTGAGTTTAATAAAAATAAAAATTCTGAGATTAAAGTCATAATTGTGAGAAAAAAGTCAGAATTCCAAGATTACAGTCAGAATTCTGAGATTAAAGTCAGTATTCTGTGATTAAAGTCAGAATTGTGAGAAAGTCAGAGTTCTGAGATTAAAGTCAGACCTCTGAGAAAAAAGTCAAAATTCTGAGATTAAAGTCAAAATTCCCAGATTAAAGTCAGAATTGAGCGATTAAAGTCAGAATTCCCAGATTAAAGTCAGAATTATGAGATTAAAGTCAGAATTCCCAGATTAAAGTCAGAACTGTGAGATTAAAGTCCGAATTGTGAGAAAAAGGTCAGAATTCTGGGTTAAAGTCAGAATTATGAGATTAAAGTCATAATTGTGAGAAAAAAGTCAGAATTCCGAGATTACAGTCAGAATTCTGAGATTGAAGTCAGAATCGCGGAAACCTGCGATTAAAGTCAGAATTCTGAGATTAAAGTCAGAATTGTGAGAAAAAAATCTGAATTCTGAGATTAAAGTCAGAATTGTGAGGAAAAAGTCAGAATTCTGAGATTAAAGTCATAATTGTGAGGAAAAAAGTAAAAATTCTCAGATTAAAGTCAGAATTCTGACCTTTTTTCTCATATTATACTGAAATAAAATGTAAAAATCGGGTAACTTTTTTTTGTTTATTTTCAGTGGCCCTAACCCTCTTCCGTAGATGTGACAGCAGGCGGTGGGGTCGATTAGAACTAGAATAACCAATGCCTTCTAGTAATACTACACATTTTTCAAGTTCTCTATATAATTTTAACGCACAAAACATCTTTAGATGGATGGATAATAACACTCATCTACCTCACGTAAACAATTAACACAACTACTAGCTGGTAGTTCCGCCCCTCCGCCTCTTCCCCCATCGTCTCCTTCCTCCGCTCTGAAGGTTTTCTGCCCTCCTAATATGGGCATAACATGTCCAGGAGGAAACGCCCCCTTACGGTGGAATCAGCTTTCTGATTGGTCAACTGTAACGCCAGTCATTAACGTTCGGGGCGGGACGCTGCTGTGGCCTGGAGAGTCCTGTCAACACTGACGAGAGTATCAGCTGCATTTCTACCGGGTTTAAAACGAAACCAGGGTAAGATGATGCATTTTTAATACATAGTGATTGTTACAGGAAATTATTTGACGTTACATGTAAGGCTTTACTGTTTCTCTGAACGGCTGGGATGAAACCCAGCATTGACTGTGAAGGTCTCCCATCCTTTTAGCTCCACCATACATTAGTAATGCTCCTGTTGTAAACAGCGGTTATTGCGGCTTATTCTGTTTATTTAACCCCTCTATTTAAAATAATCATAATGGATGAATATGTGCATGGTTTAGAGGAGAATCCGTCACTTTTTCTTTTTTTTTTTTTTTAGATCACCTTGTAATTGTGTTAGTACCCCTGTATAATTCAGATACCCCTGTTTTTGTCACCCAGATCCCCCTCAGTTTTATTTCTGTTGAATATTGTTTTGTTGTTTTTCTGCCACCAGTTCTTCGGATGTCCAAGTACAAACTGCTCTTGCTGAGGCATGGAGAGGGGGCCTGGAACAAGGAGAACCGCTTCTGCAGCTGGGTGGACCAGAAGCTTAGTGAGGATGGAGTGAAAGAAGCCCAGGATTGTGGCAGGCTTCTGAAGGAGCAGGGCTACAAGTTTGACTTGGTGTTCACCTCCATACTCAGCCGCTCCATCCAGACAGCATGGCTGGTGTTGGAGGCAATGGGCCAGGAGTGGGTCCCAGTTGTAAAGTCCTGGAGGCTTAATGAACGCCACTATGGGGCCCTGATCGGACTCAACAGGGCTGAAATGGCTCTGCAGCATGGAGAAGAAAAGGTCAAGCTGTGGAGAAGGAGCTATGACATCACTCCACCACTGATTGATGAATCCCACCCTTACTATTTGGAGATCTACAATGATCGCAGATACACCACATGTGATGTGCCGAAGGAGAATCTCCCCCGAGCAGAGAGCCTGAAAGAAGTTCTGGACAGGCTGCTGCCATATTGGAACAGCACCGTGGTCCCAGAGATACAGAAAGGCAAAACTGTGCTGATTTCAGCTCATGGAAACAGCTGCAGGGCCCTCCTCAAACACTTGGAAGGTATGCTGTTTTAATCCCATTTCTATGTGGGACTAATTTAGTGAAATCAGTTGATACTTCTCCTCTTTAAAGGCCACTCTTACCCATAAGAGTCACTGAATTAGGAAGTGCATACAGTAATTCAGCTCCAGAAATGGAAGCATGAACCTGTGCAAAAAGGTCATCAAGTTTATGTTACATTTAACTGTAATATGAAATCCCTGCTGACCTTTTACTTCACTTGTAGGTGTTTTTTGGTCTCAGTGGGCCATCTCTCTATTTATTCCATCAATAACTTTTACAAGATAACTCATCTTTAAAGTTTACTAAACATTTTGCATTATTACCAATTAAGAAAAAAAAAAAATTGATATTCAAAAGTTTGATACGGAACTAAGAACCTTATCTTTATCAGAGATGGGAAGTAACGAAGTTGTCATGATGGGTTCACTGAAGGCGACCCAGTTATGCAGAACACCTCTGACGGACACAAGGATGAAAAGTTCAACAGTTTATTAAAGCACAAACACACAGAATGTACTGATTCTGGTTCGGGGCCTGGATACTGGTTCACCGGAGTCTGCGTGAGAGACAGCACAGTTAGCGGTTTGCTGGCAGGGTTTAACTTCCAGAAGTTCACTGATTGTACCTTGAGGGTTCTTGAGGTTAACTTTGGGAGAGTCACTGTTGGTTCTGGAGAAGGGTTCATCAGCAGAGTCCGTTTGCTGCTTCAGCGTCTCACGTCTTGTTAGAACAGACCTTGGCTTGGAAGTCCCATCTCAGTCCTGAGCTGCTTGAGGTTTCTCAGAGGGATCTTCAGGGTTTGGCTCAGAGGGTCGGCTCGGCAGGTTAGCTCTTCCAGAGCTTTCTCAGAGGAGGCACAGGTTTCCTGGAAGACAGAGATAATAGTTAGAATCCAGACTGGATTCAAAGTCATGGAGATACTCAGAGGATCTAGGCTTTAGCGCTGACCAACTGGAACAACACTGCGGCGTTGAGGCAAGGTCTGAAGACAGCTTAAGTAGTGGATCCTCTGATGATCTTGACGAGCTGCAGCTGTGCAGGGAGCTCCCTCAGAGGATCCACGGCGGACTCTGCTGGAGAAAGATGGGATTTCTCCAGCTCCCAACAGAAGTACAAATACTTCGTTACTGTACTCAAGTAGATTTTACTGATATTTTTACTTTACTTTACTACTTATTTTTATGGCGACTTTTTACTTCTACTCCTTACATTTTTACACAAATATCTGTACTTTCTACTCCTTACATTTTAAAAAATTGGCTCGTTACTTTAATTTTCACGTCATCAATACCAAATTCAATCTAATTGGATGGGAATCTACGCTGCATTTGACGCACCACTACAAGATGGATCGACAGATTCGGCGGTATTCATTCGTGGCAAATCATTGCAGCTTAGTGACGTTAGCATAGTAGTATGGACGACGAGATGATTGAAAATGAACACAACGGAGATCTAGTCCTATTGGCAGACATCCATTTAAAATGTAGGCAACGGCATGAAAAAAGTAGTTTCTACTTTTACTTTTATACTTTAAGTAAATTTACAAGCCTGTACTTTGTTACTTTTACTTAAGTAAATAAGTTTAATCAGTACTTCCACTTTTACCAGAGTAGTTTTTAATACAAGTATCTGTACTTTTACTCAAGTGCGGAAAATGAGTACTTTTGCCATCTCTGATCTTTATGTTTTATAATGTGACAAGAGGATTAGATGTACTACATTTTCCGTTTAAATTAACTGACATTCACCTGTGTGATGTCTAACAGTTGTCTTTCAGGATTGTCCTGCGATATTGTCTTGATTCCCACATACCGTATTTTCTGGAATATAAGCTGCTACTTTTTTCCCACACTTTGAACCATGCAGCTTATAAGAAGGTGCAGATATTCTGTGGATTTTTCCTAACCGCCAGTGGAGGCTAATAAGGGGGCTAATTTTCGTTTCAATCTGAAAAACTCACACGAAGAGCAAAGACGATTAGAAGAAATGTGTCAATACAATTACTTTGTCTTTGGCACTCAGACCTTGACAGGAAACATAGCGCTGAACTTTGATTGATATGAATGAACAGGAGTAAACAACAGTTTATTCAGTTGAATTTCCGCCTAGGCTCCATTTAGCACAGAAGCAAAACGGAGAACAAATTTCCCCAGTTCACACATTTTGGCATTTATTTTTGCTGCATTAAAGCTGCCGAACCAATGAAGAGACTGGGCTCAACTCCTGCAGAGCTGAAATAAAGAGCCGACAAAGCCCCATCCTTTAAAAGAAGTTCTTATTGCTGTAAGCCAACAAGCTAACGGGAGCTAGCATTATTCCTCGTCCCTACTCCAGGGGCTACATGTAGAGCTCCCCCTACAGGTTTGGTGGAAGACAGTTCAGTGGATATCAGAGGCAATGCCCAGTGCAGCTTATATATATACTTTTCACGTTATTTAAAAAAAATGTAGTTTATAGTAAGGTGCGCCCTATAGTCCAGAAAATCCGATAATCCCACAGCATAATACTGACACTATCTTGTCTCAATCTAGAAAACAGGTTGATGGTGATGTGTGATGTTAGATTGCTTTAGCACATAGCACTATTATAGCATTTTGTGAATTCAAAGGACGTCAAAGCGCTTTTCAATACGTTCAGTCGCTCACTCACACAAAAAGGTTTAAGTTTGAGCTCAGCATTTTTCTTGTGAACCTAATCAGCAACCATTTTGCTTTGGTCTGTACCATCAAATCCTGGAAAAGACATAAATATCCCTCTTTGTAATGTGACAAGATAACATAGGAAGTACATGGAGTTATTGTTTTTTCTCCTCAGGACTCACCCATGATTGATGGGTCGTGGAAAACATCTTACTTTCTGAAGGTTAAGAACGCTTCTTTATTTCTGCTTCAGTCAAACCTGTAAGAGATTAAAGCCTTTGTATCCAAAAAGCTTGATTGTTAATTTCAACGTATGAATTTATTAGCTATCCCTTAGCAATTTATTAGCAATCTCTTCATACTGAGCTTCCATGTAGTGAGAGTTTTAAGAAAACTTTCTTTTAACAGGAGGAAACTTCCAAGAGAAGCTGGCTAGAGGTAAACAAATAAAAAGAAAATAAAGCTGGTGACAGCAATAACTTCAGACCATGCATATTAGGGAAGTGGTTGGATAATCTAGCAGTGAGGAAGAGTAGTCAGCATTTCCTGCTGCAATTTAAGCATATAGCAGCAAAACTACAGAGAAAACTCAGGTTTACGTAATCTGCTTTGGCTATAAGCTTTACAACAACATGAAAACAAGTAAATTATAACGAAACAGGAAGTTAAAGTAACAGAGAACAGCTCTATATAATTAACATTAAAAGTACAATCAGGGTAAAGTGGCTTTTCGTGCTTTTTTATATAACTCACAATATTTTTAGAGGTAATAGCGACATATCTTGGTATTTATAAGGATAATAATAACAAAAGTATAATATCTTATATTCAGAATTCTTTTCTGAACCAATGTTAAAAAAGCATCAACTTAACTGTTGTTGAATTTAGAAAATAAAACCAATCAACTGTAAATTGACAGACACTATTTACATTTATAACTCTTATAAAAGTCTCTTCTTTTAACAGGTATTTCAGATGAGGAGATCGCCAAAGTGACTTTACCAACGGGGATACCTGGGCTACTCGAGCTGGACGGGAACCTCAAACCGGTGAAACCTCGACAGCTGCTGGGAGACCAGGCTAAGATTCAGGCAGCCATTAAAAAGGTGGAGGACCAGGGCAAAGCCAAACAAGCAACTTGACTACATGCACACTGTTCTCCCCACCTGTTTGCTGGATTATTACATCCAGTGTAACCCAAAGTCTTAAGCAGATTTGATTTGTTTTGCATAACGAGAGCCAATAACAACAATTGCAGTAGTTAGATTTTTAAACAATAGGTCGAAATGTTTCAGATACAATACAACATATGGGAGTTTTGGCTTCAGCAGGATATAGTCTCTAAACACTGGAGATCTGGCAGATCAGGAAAAACAAGTACTCCGTGTTTTAGGAGGCTGTTGTACTGTGTTTTGTGTGTAAATGTTGAGGAAAACACTGTTCTTTGTCTAATATGCGTTTAACCATATTATTTATTTACTCATAACAGCAATTTGCAGAAGCTAATAAAGCTAAAAAACACAAACCATAAAGCTGTTATTAGTCATTTTAAAATGTTTTCCTGTTACATTAGGACTATTCCTTTATGTATGTGCTTTTTGTATTTTAGATGCTCTACAGGTTTGTTACAGATTTTTCTTACATTTACTGGATAAATTAATACAGTAATAAAATGTACGTCATGAAAATGAAAAGTTAGCTCACTCTCTCCAGTATATTTTTAAATATGAGCCACATGCATACTGTACCAACGCAAATAAATCCCTCATATGCTTGAAATATACTTTTTATTTAAAAAAATGTCATATCTGATAAAATAAAAGTGAGGATTGCAGCTCAAGGTGAAGCTATGACCACCAGTTCTACACTTTTAGTGAGAATATATTTAAGTATGCGGTCCTCTACTGAAACATTGTGCTAACTAGTAAAGGATTATTTTGTGCAGCTATAAAAAAATATGGTACAAACTGCAAATTCATTGTGATAAAGTAAAATAGTTGCAGTGGTTCCTAAACTTGTCTTGCTGACCCTTTCTTTGGTTTACAAGAAAGTTTCCTGTCATTTAATTTCTACCAGTCTCCCCATGTTTTGTTATGGTTATTGTTTTATGATCTAATTTGTGCAATACCTGTGTTTTCCTGTTATGTTTGCCATCGCTGGTATTTTGTGCAACGGCTTTTCATGACAATAAATGGACAAATACTTGAAGGTAAACAACACTGATATTTGCCATTGTCTTCAACCCCAATAGTTTTCACTTGAAATGTTGCTATATAATATAAAATGCATTTTAAATTTTCATTCTTGAGTACTTTCTTTATGGTTTTTGCAAAGCTTTGTCCCATCTGGTTTAAATTTATTACCTCCACCAAGGAGGTTATGTTTTTAGGAGAGTTTGTGTATGTTTTGTTGTCTGTCTTACTCTCTTTTTACAGGATAACTTTAAAAGTTATGGATGAATTTTAATGATATTTTTCAAAGAAGTGTCCCTCATACCTAAATTTAGTAATGATCCAGATCATGTATAAGTTATAAGTCACAATTCCGGACAAAATTCACTGCTGAGCAGAGGTCTGTGGTCTCCGGGGGCTTTTATATTTTAAGAAATATAGAGGCATGTCTAATTAAGGCTGATAAAACTATGAAAAAAGATATAAAAATATTTGATTGTTTAGAGAGTTTACTCATTTAGTGTTGGTTGTTTACTGAAGCCTGAAGGTAATTAACACCTTGAAGACACAACTAATAGAGCCAGAGCAGAAGCTCTTTTTTGTAATATTTTCTGTTACTAAACCATTAGGGCAGAGAAACTTCTCACACACCCGTTTTTATGTAAATGTTAAATCTCTGTTCATTTCAACCAACAATAGGGCAAGTGAGTTAATAAGGTAACTCTAAATAAGTTGATTTATGTGTAGACTGAAAGCTGCAATGTTTAAAATACGGTTTTTGTTTTTGTAGATTTTTGGTGTATGAAAAAACTAATCTAACATTAGATATTGCAAAGATTAACTTTCTGAATCATGCTGAATTATACAATTCAGTTCCATCACAACATGCAGAACTTTAAAAGAAAAAAATCAGTCAAGTTGGATTTTTAAAACTACCATGTTTTATGTGCAACACTAAATGGGAGGAAATTAGATTTATAGAGCTTTTCTTTTGAGCTATGTGTCTCTCACAGCTTTGCATATCTCGAAAAAAATAGAAATGACCAAAGCTCAGCTGAATTGGACGAAAAGTTCTTCCGTTTTTTCACCAGACCTTTGCACTACATGAATATCCTTTGACCAAGTACATTTTCTCCGTTTCTGGAAAGAGAACTGTCAAGTTCCTGGTGTTCGCAGCCTCTAAACCACACATTATACAGGATTATCCAGGGTTATCTTAATATACCGGTATCTTCTGATCAACTTTGATCGGTTTAAGTAAGGAGCAACATTCGGTGTGTAGGTCCAAAATATTCCAAGTTTGACCACATAGATCTTTTTTAATAAAGGGCCAGCTTACAGAATAACTGACAGGAAACTCCCGAAAACAAATGAAGCTCTAGCGGAAGTTCAATTGAAGAAACTCTGACTTACCTCCATCAATCAGAAGCCGGTCCGTCTCTGAAGCGAGCCAATCAGCTTCGAACTACTCCACCACGAAGCCCAATCAGTGTCCTGCTTCCACTTTATAAACTCCCTCAAATCTCACCCCAGCCGCTATCCTGCAATCGCAATGTCGGATTTCGATTCAGACGACAATTCACCCACCTCCATCCCCTTCTCCGCCATCGCAGCTGAATCGTCCTTCATGACACGACTTCACCTCAACCTCATCAGAGAGTATTAATCCCAGTTGTCACCATCCCTCATCTCATCGCATTGGTCCGGCAGAAGACCACCATGTTGAGCCCGGTTCTGCCAGAGGTTTCTTCCCAAAGGGGAGTTTTTCCTCTCCACTGTCGCTTCATGCTTGCTCATCATGGACAGTTCACGGTACCTGCATCACCAATATATATCCTGAGTCTGAGTGAAGCCCCGGCGTCAGCTCCCTCAGTCTTCTAGTCCCACAATTCTGCCCAGCAGATCACCTTGTCAACCAGCTCGGATTAAACCACCACCAGTTTCAGGCCAGGGGGAACATCCCTATTCACATTCATCTACTCATGCATGTTAAAGCATAATTCAAGATGAATGTTCCTGCCGAGGTCTGAGCGCCAAAGACTATACTTTCTTATCAATAAATTCTTCGAATGATCTTTTCTCTCTGTGTGAGTTTTTCAGATTGAACTAATTATACTGAATAGAATGGATTAATGAAGGATATCAGTTTAAAGGGGCTAAATGCAAATGTAAGACATATTTTTAGGTTCTTTGTTTGTGAAATTCTACTTTTCACTATCTCTTAACTTCAATTGTATAATTTTGTTTAAAAAATGAAATACAGATAAAATACATGGTTTTGGTTTTAACTTCAGAAGATATGAAGACATTTAAGAGGAGTACACATCAACTGCATTTATAAAATGAATGCATGTACAAACATATCTGCACTATGCAACAAATAAAATATTGTAGCTTCAGCAGGCGGAGCTCAGCACTTTCTGCACTGCTTATAAACCCTCCAGATGATCTTCAGCTGCTGATTTCCAGCAGCAAAAAGCACTCTTGTCTGCATCCCAGGTAAGTTTGATCATCATATTTGGTGCATTATATTGTTGTGAATATTAAGGAGCATTGCTTTCAACATTTAGGAGACTTGTTTAAGAAAAAAACAAAAGCAACTTTCGCATTTACAGTAGATTCAGGAAACATGTTTTCATTTGTTCTGTCTGTCTTTTTATTATATCTTTTTATAAGCAGATCTCTTTAAACGGAACATTATTTTAATCATAATCTGTTTCTCATGAGAGTTTAAAAGAAGAACTGTTTCCTATTTCAACACATTTTAATTTATTGTTAATCTACAAGCTCAATCAGAACTATCCTGGACAAGAAATATTTGCATTTAGGAAATATTTCCCAAATGTTGAATTTGAACTTATTTAACCTCCATCATCTTATAGATGGGATGAAAAAGGTTATCTGAGGCATTTTTATTGGTAAAGAGATTGTTTGATCTATATCATAAAGGCAATAGCTACTTTGAAGGATTTGTTTCCCCAAATTTTTGGTTTCAAATAGCGTCAGTTAACTTTTGAATACAATTTTTTGCCAATTTTATTTCAAATAACCAATAAATTTGAAAACAATATTAACAATAATTGCTAGAAAATTTTTAACTCTGAGCTTGAAAATAACAATTCTGTAAAATTATATGTATCAATAATGATAATAGTTATATTACATCATAAATATTAAAAACGTGCTATTATAAAACTAAAGATGTTATGAAATATTTTTGGTATTTTCGCTTTGACAAAACCTGAACATCTTTTAATCTTCCTTTCCCTCAAATCTGCCTTATTAGTACAGACATTGGTTCTGTCCAAATCAGGACTGAGAACCGTCGCTTGTTTTTAAAACCTGTTTCTCATACACTGAGCAGATGTGTGGCTGTGGACGCTCAGAGGTGGACATGCCAAGTGTAGTCTGACTCCGATTCCTTAGATGGTCTTGAAGATAAAAGCTGCGACCACATTGGCCTGCAGTAAATGGAAGCACAGGCTTGTCTGGTTGGGGACTGAAAATCAGTTTGTAGCACCAGAGCCTGCTCACCTCCTTCTCTGTGTCACTGAGGTCAAATCGCGTAAAAATAATGGCTGTGCACAAACAATGACATCTTTTTACTGCACCTTTCAGAAGTATTTACAACCGTGATGCAAATGTATTTTAACAATTTACATAATGGACCTTGGTATTGAATGAATAGGTAAGGCTTTATGGTTTTTACAATATGTAACAAAAACATCTCTGCTGTATGGCAGAAACTTTGCATTTCCAAATAATAAAAAAAAGAAGAAAGGCAAATCTTGCTCCTAAAATAAAATTTACAATGTTTGGTCAAAGGTATTTGTTCTTTTCAGTCCTTTTCACAGAAAATATATAGATAAAACCAAAACAGAACATGAGGGGGTGAGTAGCTATTTTTAGCAAGAAAACCAAATGATTTAGAATAGAAGAACAAGGTTTTTTCTGTAGGGAAAACAATCTGAATAATGTAGGATGCATGTGTTTTTAGCCCTTTTTCTTGTGATACTTGTAGAAAACATTCAGTCTAACTATTTACATTCAGAGGTCATGTGGTTTATAAGCAGCTATTCAACCTTTGTCATTTAAATCCGAATGTTGTTTGAAGGTGTCACAGGCTTGTTGAACATCAATAAGAAAATATCATCATGATGGTAAAGGACACAGCAGGCAGGTCAGAGAGAAAGCTGTAAAGAAGATTAAAGCAGGGTTAGCGTGTATAAAATATCTCAAACATGTGGCACAATGCAAACTTGCAAAGACTGCAGTTTGCAGTCCATCTTAACTGAATGAAACAAGCAGAAAAGAGCATGGTGGTAAGTTGATACCCCTGTAGGAGCTGCACAGATCCGCATCTCAGGTGGAAAAATCTGTTTGACAGATATTATCTCATTACTACATATATTTAGCCTTTATGAAACAGTCTTGAGAAGAGAGCTTCTCATGTCAGAAAGCAATAAAGAGGCCGACTTTCAGTTTGCCATAAGCTTTATAGGAACCTTTTGACCAAACAAAATATTATATGAGACCGGAAGCTAGAATTGCATCTCAACCAAGAACACAGCATTACTAATATGGCGGTGGTAGCCGCATTATGTGGGGCGATCTTATTCAGAAATGGCAGGGAAGCTGATCCAAGCTGATGGGAAGATACAGGGGGTTAAAAAGAGGGTAGTTTTATGAAAATACAGTCAGTGCTAAAGGGGAAAGGTTAAGTAAGGAGAATATTCACGTTTTTGATGCCTATAGTTTAAAACAAGACCACAATTCATCTGTGGCAAAATATTGAAATGAATGTTGACAGATCCTCCCCATAAAATGTAATTATGCATTAGACATTTTGCAAAGAAAAATATGCAAAGATAAAAAGAGTGTAGACAAACAAAAAAGCAACAACAAGTGGTCCAAGAAAAAAAGAATGGAGGTACAGTAACACTACCTCTGACTTCCATCATATACGTAGAAAGAAAACATCTCCGGAACCAAGGAAAACAAAGAGTTTGCAGATGAAGCATTTCCTTTCAATGTCCTTTTCTACTGTGTTTGACATGTTCCATGGGAACGAATGCTGCTCGGAATTAAGACAATAGTTATGTTAGTGTCAGCATGTCTGAGATGCAGACAAAAGGGAGACGTTTCCCTTCATGTACTGTAGGTTTGCATCTATCTACTATATATGCAAGTGAGAAATTGGTATAATTTTGCAGTGTTGATGAATTACTGTACTCTGAACCTGCATGGGCCTGATGAGACTGAATGAATAGTCACGTATCATCTTCAGTTGCATTGGCTGGACCCAGAGGTGTCAAAAGCATTGATATTCATTACTGAAGTAGAAGTATACATCTTACTGTTAAAAACACTTTTGTAGAAGTTAGAGGAACAACTTAAGCTTTTTACTCAATTAAAGTACTTAAAGTGTAAAAGTAAAAATAATGCAGTAAAAATGCTCTACTGCACTACCCTATTAAATGAACTATTTTCAACATTTCTGGATGATAATTTCCTTAATATTAAATGTTGTTAGTTTTATAACTAATGACAACAGTGTCAAATTTGTCTTTGCATCATCTTGAAAAACTATTTATTTTGATATCTGGTGAAGAACAAGTTGATGCAGCACCAAGTTAAACATGAATAAACTAATATTCTGGATGAAACAAATTATGTTGATGGGTTTTTTTTTTTATTGCTTTTAAACACCAACAGTCCATAATGAAAATGAGCTTAAATGGATAAAAACTAACGAGTCTATTTTTCACATGTAAGGAGTAGAAAGAAGAGATAATTGCCAAATAATGTAAGAAGTAGAGGTAAAAAGTTGATTAAAATATAATTAGTCCAGTAAAGTAGAGATAGCCAAAATTTATTCAGTATTGTCTGGCTGGAGCCTCTAAATGGTAGAACAAGTGGGGCTAACAAATTAGAAATTATAGGAGGTGAATATAAGATGTTTAATGTTCACAGAGTCATTTATAACACATCAACCATTAATAAGTAAAATCAAATAAAGTAATAATCCGTTCCGTCCTGTTTTTGGAATAACAGAAGTTAAACCACATTTTTTAATCAACAGTGTGCCAAACAGCAGCTTTACTAGGATCTGTTTCCTGGTGATAACAACAGGAACAAGTTATTTTCTGTTTGCCACTTTCCACAGCAGCAGGTATTTCCTAAAGTAAACTTTGTTCTCATTCTGTGGCTTTGTGCATCTCCAAGCTGGGACGCTGCAACTGACAGGGCCTGTGTGCTTCCATAAAAGGAGGCTCAATACGCCATCTAGGGAGGCTAACAACCAAATGTCGTTTATTTCCACTCAGTCTGCTGCTGTGGAGAGAATCACTGATCACTTTGGAATTTAGGACTGTTTCTCTGCTGACATTTTTTAGTGTGACAGTCTTTCCATCTACTTTGCAAAGATGTTTTTTTTAAAAGAACAACAATATCTTCCAAACAGGCAACAGCAGACCTTATGTTTATTTATGCAGTCAGGTTAAATGTATTGAAGAACTCAAACAGGGGATTTTAAGGGTATTTTTCTTACGCTTAGGGCCCACAAAACAAAACACCAACCTGATCACAAACAATCCAAGGCGGCGGACAGAAGGTCATCACTGCAGCATGTTGTGGCTTGTAAACCGCGAGGAATTTCTTTCTTGGTCATACGTGACCATGTTTGGGCAAGTGGAGGAACGAGCAGCAGTTTCTTGATTGATTGCAAACGGCTCTCTGGCAAATGTTTATCTATAAGCATGTTAAAGTGCTTTCCTTGTCCGTTACTGAGAACCTCATCTGGTTATGGAATATAGTCAGCTGATTAACCTCTTACTAAATATTTCCATGCTTCCTCCTGTGACATGATTAATTACAGGTAGAGTTTTAGTCACTCCTTAACCGCCTGAAATGAATAGCTATTCACATTCTGCAGATAAAAAAAAAAAAGATTTTGATGTTGTTTTTTTTTAGGTGTTTTCCTGTAATGTTTAACTAATAAAAAATGGTTAGAGCGGAAATATAACAAAATAACAAAACTGCAATAGCACTTTCTCAACATTACACATCCTGACCTATCTGTTTTGTAAAAATGTTCCTAATCTGCTGTCCTTTGAGGACATTTTTTTGTCCACCACCCCCCTTAGATGAACCAACAAGTGGATCGATTCTGGCTAGACCTTTTGAAACATTGAATCTCCTTGGATCCTCCTGTTTCCAATCAGAAATGTAAGGATTTTTAGTCAAAACTGGCTGTTATTTAAACCTTTTAATGATTCATTCATTTTCTTCTACTAGAAACCAATAGTTTGTGCTCTTCTGAAGATGTTTTCTGTTGTTTTGGGTTTGGCCTGAGTATTTCCCCTGGAAGAAAAGGCTTCTGTTTTTCCAGATCTGTACTTCTATGTCTAAACATTTGATAGCAAATTAGATGAGAAAATTCAAGCTCTGCTATCTCTGCACCAAAGAGTGAGAAACATTTTTTAGAAGGAATATAAGGATGTTTTATGACAGTACAACACTCAGAAAGAAATGAGGTCCTTCAGCTCCACTCTTGTCTGCAGCAAAGCCAGGTAAAGGTTTGTTCTAGATGTATCTACTCTTTAGAATAAATTTTAACAAACATCACATTTATGCAGCACTCCTTGATTCTTCAATTTAGATTATTTAAATTAAGTTAAAAACAATCCACTGGATTTTGTTTCCAAGTTTGAAGATGTTTCGCTTCCCATCCAGGAAGCTTTTTCAATTCAAAAAAGCTTCCTGTTTAAGGTTAGTTTTCTTAACATTAACACTTTCTCAACACTATTCCTGACATTTTGAATTGAAAATGTCAACCTCCCACCCTACCTGGGTGGGAAGCGAAACGTCTTCAAACTTGGAAACAAAGTCCAGTGGATTGTTTTTCCTTTTTTTTTGGAATGACTATGACCTGGATGACTGAAAATCTTCACCAACATGTGCAACATTTCTGCCACATACCTTCATCAGGAAGAAAGATTATAATGGTTAAATTCTACCATTAAATAATGAGCGGTTTTGACATCTACATACAAATGTATACAGATCCCCAAATAAGAAAATCAACCCAAGTCCAATCACTTTATTATTTATTTAGTGTTTAAATATGAGTAAAAACAATATGAAAACTAAATATTTCCCCAAACCCCATACAAAAACAAAACAAAAACAAAAAATTTAAGCAATAGTTTTAATGTGTGTACAACAAATGATCAGAGAGCATTAAAGCACAACATACAGAAAGGATGAGGATGATTGTTTTTGCAGTACATCATACTGACATGCATTATACTTTTTATTGCATCTGTGTGAGACTGAGAAGGTCACTTTTCAACCTCAAGCGAGTGAACTGAATAGGCAACCTGTGAAAATAAAGTAATTTTAAATATACATTCTTCAAAATTTGCCTCTAAAGGAACTAGATAATTGCCTTTGGTTGTTTTTTTTATGTTAAATTAGTTTTTGTTAAAAGGATTCTTGCTTTTCCTTTTGGGTTTATGAAACATCAGCTGTGCTGCTTCCATCAACACCCTTGTTTATAGATGCTGGAGTTCGGCCTGTTTTCCAGTGCGGTCCTGTTTCTCTGACCCTGACTGGCTGGATCTGCTCTCTTCGTCCTCTGGCATGGGAGCTGGCTCTGAGCTCGTCTGCCTGGCTGTGTGTTTCCTGGATGGGGCCGCCTTTTGCAGCTGCTTTTTGTATCTCTGCTTCTGTCTCCTTGAACCCCAGTCGGCCTCAGCAGATGGCCGCTCACACTGAGCCTGGTTCTGCTGGAGGTTTCTTCCTGTTAAAAGGGAGTTTTTCCTCTCCACTGTCGCTACAAGCATGCTTAGTGTGGGGGATTGTATTTGAGTCAATGAGTCAATGCAATCAACTGGTTTTCATTAGATAGAAAACTTTGAATCAATTTGACTGGATGATCTGGTGAATTGTAAAGTGCCTTGAGATGACATGTATTGTGAATTTGGCGCTATATAAATAAACTGAATTGAATTGAATTTATTTCAACATGGTCAGGTAAATTGAAGTAGTTAGAGCAAAAACAATGTCTTCAAACTCCAGTGGATTGATTTTTTTTTTTTACTTTTTTGGAATGACTATGACCTGGATGACTGAGAATCTTCACCAGTAACCAAACAACCCTTAAATGTAGCCATTATCACAGCTTATTAGGAAACAAGTTTCATCTTTTTCATTGCTGTCTGACTTTTCCCCCTCCTCCTTACAGAACTGTTTTGATTTGTATACTTTACAGCGTTTCTAAGCATAAAAGAGGTGTTTACGATTTCAGTGGAATTAGTCCAGTCTTTGACTAGGCCACTCTGGATCAGTCATCCATTCATCATAACTGCTATCTCCCAGGCTCCCAGGGAGTTATGGGGCCAATCTCCTTCATGCTATTAGGTGAGAGGCAGAGTAGACCCTGGACAGTCTACCTGTCCATCACAGGGTAACACAGAGACAAACAAGAAGAACAGTGACAAGTAATCTACCAATCATGTTTTAGGACTGCGGGAAGAAGTCACAGTACCTAGAACTGACATGCAAGGGGAGAACATGAAAACTCTGTGCAGACACATTTCAGGACATATTTGCTGTAAGGAAATGTTATGTTTTTTTGTTGTTTTTTAGCCCTTTAGCTCCTGGTGTGTTTTAGATCATTGCTTTGCTGCATAACTCAACCGTGTTTAGGTTCAAAGTCATAGCCAGTTATTTTGCTAGAAAGAAAAATATACAAATCTAACATATAACGTCTATAACAACTTGTTCAGATTCTGATGCAGCAAAGCAGTATGATATTCTATGTTTTTAGACGCACTAAATGTAATTGATATGACACATTCTTTGAAAATGCGAGTTAAGAGTTTTCCTACAATATTTTTTTTTCTGCTTCAGACTTTCCTATCAGTGCCTTTTCTTCCTCTTGTCTTTTTCCTATCAGTGAGACTTGCAGTGCTCTAGATGTTGTTCCGTGTACCAAAGTGACCCTCTGAATCGACTTTGATATACTTTTAGAGAAGTCTAGTTAGGCAAGCCACTCCATTAATGGAAAATTATCCCCATTGTTTTTCTCTGTGACCCTTTGTTTAGACAAGTCTTGCAGTGATCTCAGGATTTGGGTACATTGAAATTGAACCAAAGATATAAATCATTGGGAAAGTTGTCATAATATGTTCATCATCTTTTTAGAGTTTTTTTTTCCCTGAGAAATTCAATTTCAAAAATTGCATTTTAGGTTATTTTGGTATGATAGAAACAAAAGAGGACAAAAATGCAAAATCCATAAATAAACAAAAAAAATTGGATTCCTGCCCTGTGTGCAAGAAAAAAATTTTTATTTTAGCACTAAAGAACCAGATCAGAAGCCTTAAATGTTACCAATAAATGTAATATCAAAAATATATTTTCCTTCATTCTACCTGTTGGTTTAATATCATGGATTGATAGAAGAGTTTGAGTATATAATGTTATGCTTGTTAACTTAGCATGAACAATTTCAGTATATTTAGATTTAGATTAATGGAGTTCCCCAATTCCTCCCTAATATGATGAATGAGAAGCTGTTTCCTCCCCTCCCTTTGTTTGTAGAAAGACTAAAATTAAGTGTGAGTTTTTATTCCTTCTGTTCCTCAAGTGAGACTACAGTATGACAACACTGGCCAAATAAGAACACAGAAGGCTTCCAAGTGATTAAACAAAAAAAAAAACTTGTGAAAGTGGACTTTTAGCTTTAGAGCAAGGGACACTGGAGTCGGACTGATGAGGTGGAGGGAGGATGAGAAAGAAAATGAGAAGAGCAAAGAGGCAGGCTTTGCCTTTTCTGGTAGTTAAAGTTGCTGAAAGAACAAACAGACTTCTTTTCAGCTGTAGAAGAGCTGAGATACAAACCAGATTGTGGAGGTTGATGTATGACAAGGGAAAAGAGGCCTTTGCTTATGGACTAAATTCATAGCTGCTCAGGTATTGTAAACTAACGTGCACTATCGTTTTATCTCCTGCATATATCAGTAAGCTGACTTTGGTGGTCTGTGTGTTGGATGTTTAATATATAAGTAGCTGTTTGTGTTCTGTTAAATGAATTCCTATATTACTGCAAAATTACCTACTATAGCAAACATTTAATAATTATTTTTTAACAAAAGTATTCTGGAATAAATATTGAACATGCATGCATCATATTTGTGTGTTTCAGTGAGAAAGTGAGGAGAATCCTTGGGGCAACATGGATGATGACTTTGACCGCCGCATGGAGCTAAGAAGGCAGAGGAGAGAGCAGATGCGTCAGGAAGCAGAAAAGTAAGTAAGCCCTCAAAAAGATGTGGACACATGATACTGGTCTTTAAAAAGAAAATTAAATGATTCAAGTTGTAAAATTTAAATTTTATGCATAGTGAAAAAAATTGCACACTGTTGGTTTGATATTTCGGCCTCACTGCATGCTTTTTATCACATTTAGCATTCTGCTGGAATAATTGGGGCGGAAATGTTTTGAGTTTTTTGGTCCCAAAAACAAAAGCATCATACTACAACCTCATGAGATTTGTTTTAATCAACCTCTATTTAACCAAGTAAAAACATCCATTGACACCAAGGTCTCTTTTACAAGGTTGACATTACCAACAGCACACAGTACAGAAACACAAATTGCAATTTTACATGTAAAATGCAAATTGTTTTACACAGTAAATAATAAAAAACAGCATACTAGACATTTAAAAAGAAGATTAAGTGCAAAAAATGACAAAAATATAGTTATAAAGTGTCCGAAAGGTGAACATTTTTACTGTAACGTCTTTAAGACACAGGCTGCGTTTTGTGAATGCCTAAGTTTTAAATGAAAGTTTTTTGAGGTGTGCTGTGCCATTCTTATTTTAGTATTTGTGTTTTTTATACCACTGGTGGGGTAAGATATGTTTAATAAAGGCTAATTTTTATTCGCTGTTGAATTTATATGACTTGAGAGAAGCAATTGCCAAACAAGCTTTATTAAGAATTAATTATGGCTTTAAGCACGTCTGTCTGCTCTGAAATGAAATGTCTTCAAAGGATGTTCTGTTGAGGGAGTTTTTCGTCTTGCTTTTATTTATGACGTCCAGGTCCTAAATGTTCATAGTTAAACAGTTATTGGCTACAGCTGAGAAACAGGGAAACTTGCAGAATACAGGAGAAAGATCCCCCGTTGGATGGACATTCAATCTGCCTCAGAAAAAATCTCGGTATGCAAATGAGAAATTTTTCTTTTTTGCCACTTTGGCGAACTGCTGCCCCAACATATTAATTATTGGCACAGCCTAGAGCAAAATGGTGGATTAATTTCCACTGTTATGCTGATGATACTCTATACTGTCTATAAATCTAAATGAACCTAATGCATTACAGAGACAACGGGCAAGTCTTGAAGACATAAAAACCAGGATGACACTTAACCTTCTCCTCCAGAATGCAGACAAAACTGAAGTTATAGTCTTTGGACCAAAGTCAACCATTTGGATGGGATTTAATTGATCTCAGATAATAAAGTAAAAAAATCTTGTTATTTTTGATCAGGACCTGTCATGTAAATCCCATTTAAAAGAGGTTTTCCTTCTTTCATCTGCAGAATATTGCAAAAAATTTGAAATAACTCCTCCATGCATTTGTTACTTCAAGGCTGGAAGTAACCAGGGAATCCACAAACTGTAGTTAAAAGCCTTAAGCGGATTTTAAATGCTGCAGCGGAGTTCTGATGAGATTAGGAAGATAGATCATATCTCTCCTATCCTATATTCTCTTCATTGGCTTCCTGTTAAATTCAGAATATAATTTGAAATCCCCTTTCTCACATATAAAGCTTTAAATGGCCAAGCTCCATCTTATATAAGAGTTATTAGGCTCCTCTCCTGTGGAACCAACTACCAGTTTTAGTCCGTGAGGCAGACACCCTGTCTACTTTTAAGGCTAGGCTTAAAACTTCCCTTTTAATAAAGCTTATAGTTAGAGTGGCTCAGTTTATCCTGAGCTATCTCTATAGTTATGCTGCTATAGGATTAGGCTGCTGGAGGACATAGGGACCCCTTATTGATTATTCTGCTTCATTCTATCTCTATTCTCCCACTCTGCAGAATCTGTTAGTTCAATCTCTAACGTTCTGCTCTCTCTTCTTTTTCTCATAGTAGCTTCATCTGGTCTGTTCCTGTTTGGCTGTGACTCCATTCTGGAGAGAAATATCAGCTGTGCTGCTGTCAACAACACCCTTGTTTATAGATGTTGGAGCTTGGCCTGTTTTTCAGTGTAGTCCATTTTCTCTGACTGTGACTGGCTGGATGTGCTCTCCTTCATCCTCTAACATGGGAGCTGCCTCAGAGCTCATCTGTTTGGCTGTGACAGTTATCATTTGTATCTCTGCTTCTTTCTGTATCTCTGCTTCTGTCTCCTTGAACCCCAGTTGGCCTCGACAGATGGCCGCTCACACTGAGTCCGGTTCTGCTGGAGGTTTCTTCCTGTTAAAAGGGAATTTTCCTGTCCACTGTCACCTCAAGCATGCTTGGTGTGAGGGATTGCCTTCGAGTTAATGAGTCGATGTAATCAACTGTTTTTCCTCCACAGCTTTGAACCAGTCTGACTGTATGATCTAGTTGAGTTCTCTCTGTGAAGTGCCTTGAGAGGACGTGTTGTGAATTTGCACAATTTAAATAAGCTGAACTGAATTGAATGGTTCAAACAACATTCGACAGAACAGCTGTGTTTTCAGTGAACTGGTCTCCCACCTACCCTATAAGCATTGTGGGTAAGCTTTGCCAAACACCGTTCGGAACTAGATACCACAGTAAAAAAATATCAGTATGAAAGAGCATTTGGCTCAGTAAAGAGAAGCATTATCTTTGTGTTTTAGTGTCATGCATTCTTTACACAACAATGCAAGCAAATTTTGCCCAGTGGGAATATTGGAAATCTACAATATTTGACCCAAGATGTCAGGATGCTTTATTTTACATGATAATCTCTGTGCTTTAGCTCTCTGCAGACAATTTACATAATTTAAACATTTTTAACAAACACGATGCAGGTTTAAATGTTCTCTCATGTTTATGCTACTACGGTGCTTGGATGATGTAATTTATACTCTGTACTCCTTTGAATCTAAAAATAAATTTCAGCTAGCTTATTCATAATTTTCTTGGTGCAGAGCTTTAAATCAATCAATCAGTTCTTAAAGTTGCAGGCCTGCAGTATATTTTTTACTTTTTTAAAGGTTTGAATTAAAGATAAAATTGTTTTGACAAAGGCTGCGATTGAATCAATTGACTTGTTTCCATATCAGAAGCAATCCGGTGCCAAAGCCCTGGCAAAGAAGGGATTGCTTGCTATTTTCTCACAGTCATCCTGCCAGTTCCTGCTCATCGCCCCCCAGCCACTTGTTTTCACTTCTTTCTAAATGTGGCAGACACTGGAATGTTTTGACTGTCTTTCTATTTCAGGACTCAATGACCTGCTCTAGTACTTTGAACCCCTTTTAGTAGTTTTTGCTCTCTACATCCCTTTATCCTTAACACCTAATAACACTCATATATCTGTTTACCTTATATCTGCTGCCTCCGTGGTCAGTAACAGAAATGTTACCAGATTTTAAGCCTTTCTGTGTCAAAAGAGCTTTTAATTTCAGGGAGTTTAACATCCTATTAAGTATCTCAACAAAGAGAGGAAAGGAAGAAGAAAAAAAACACAAAAAAAGAAAAAGGAACATGAAAAGGTTCATTTCACTGTTGCTTTCAATTTTAATAATTTTTTCAATTTTATGTCCAAAAATTTTTTTGTTTATAAAAAGGCAATGGCTCTGGTTTCTTCATCGTATTGTCTTGTTTTGTTTTCCAGGAAAAGTCCAGAAAGATTTTGTTCAATTCCTTGGAGATTTACTGATCTAATAAATAAATAAATTCACAGTTCAAAAAACATTTTTGCAAATTTTTGCTATTTATGGTGTTTTTTTGTAAATGTGTCTGTTTATGTGTTGTTTCAGGGGGGTTTACACTAATGATGACGATGAGGAGGAGGCTCGGGAGCGAAGGAGACGTGCGAGAGAAGAAAGAAAGAAAATGAGAGACTTGGAGGAGTCCGGAACGACGGACGTGATCAGTAATAACAAGTATGAGACAGTTACACCAGAATCCTCATTTCCTAGTGCTTTTTAAATGGATCCATGAAAAGAAAACTCACTTTCATTTTATCCAGAGTAACTTTCAATGTTTAATTAGTTGAGCGATGAAACCTCTTCTTTTTCAGTCATGTTAATGTTTTTAAAAACAGTATTATTCTAATACAAACAGGCAGAGTATATTTTATTCAGGTTTCGACTGAATCATTACCTACAGTACCTACCTACACCAACATTAAAACCAACTAGAAACAATCACTACAGCAGTCTACTAAAACTGTTTAAACTAATAAATCTAACAAATGCATCATAAAAAAATCCCTCAAGTGTTGAAACTGTTAAATGAGGAAGTATGTCCCCTAAAAAAGCCGTTGCACCACAGGGGCTTCCTCACGGTTCTTTTCCTGGGAGCAAGTTATTTACTACTCTTAACTCAAACTGGGTAAAACCATATAAAAAAGGACTATAAAAACAGGAGTAAAAAATAACAGAGTTTATTCCAGATCAGGTCGTTACAGGACAGAGAAAATGCTTGGAGCTTGCACAGCTGTGGGCTCAAAAATCACGTCCGCGAGCATCCGGCAAAGATTGAGCCCCGAACAAGGTCATCTCCTGCTCTTATACCTCATGAGTCTATGTGTTGCATCATGTGGATGCTTAGCTGTCCGTATCAGAAACTGAGACGCCATCCATGCCCAAGGATTACAGGTAGCTCTCCTCTATCAGACCGGCTCCAAGATGTGCCCATATTCTGTGTATTTTTAAAGACACGAAGGCTGCCCTGATTAGATGACCTCCGTACACAGAGTGACATCCACAATGTGAAGGAAGGCCTTCTACTCTGTCTAATCTGGCTAACAGAATAACAATGCACATGATGTATAAATAAGAAACCTAACAAAACAATGGTCATTGAAAGTTTTACTAAGGTTGTTTTCTAACTGTTGAAGAAAGCTGCGCTCAGATAACAATTTTAACGCACTGTCAATAATGTGTGTCTCCCTTTAACATTATTGAGAACTTGTATATTCAGTTTTATGTAATGCTGAAGAAAAAATTAGAAATACACAAACAGAAATGTATTCAGTTTAGAGAGATACTTTTTTTAAATAATATAAAAAAAATTTTAGTACATATTTTAGAAAGCCTTCACATCACAGTTGCTTGTGTTTTTTGCTTCTTGCACAAAGGTTGATTTAATTTATATATATTTAAACCTAACCTTAGCTCAGCACCGCTTAGGTCACCTTTTTGGAAATGCTCAATTCTTTCCTGTACATTCCAGGAACCTACACTGAGTGTAAAAAAGTGTAACATGTAACTGTTCATTCGAACTAATGCTTTTCACTCTAAACTAGATAAAATTATTGATTTGATTATGTAAATCACTCTTTTTGGATTTTGAGACATCAAGTTTGATTCAACCTGAACTAAATACACGTAGAAAGGACCAAAACAAAGTTTTTGATTTCTCTCAATATGTATATATTTATTCATAGCCTGCAGGTCATTTGGCTAGCACTTCTGCCTTGCATCAAGAAGGTTGTGGGTTCGAACCCCTGCCCAGGATTTTTCTGCATGGAGTTTGCATGTTCTCCCTGAGCATGCGTGGGTTCACTCCAGGTACTCTGGCTTCCTCCCACAATCCAAAAACATGATTGCTAGGTTAACTGGCATGTCTAATTTCTCATATGTGAAAAATCTAAATTACCTGGTTTCTATACAAACATAAATTTATTTGAAATCAAGTATATTAGGTTGGTCCAATGTCAATATATTAGTTTGCTTCATCAACTAAATTATTCAGAAAATCATTTGGAACAGGGCAAAGATTTTAACTTGTGTCAAGTGCAGTATTATTGTTTATATCAACATAGTATTATCAGGTCATAACAAGCGATTCAATTCATATTCTGTGTTGTCAAATATTTTAGATGTTACATCTGGACATCATTTTTAATGTTATACTTTTTCCAGTGTACTGAGAAATTTCTACACCTTTTTCAGACATTTTCCGAACTTTTTATGAACCTTCCCAGTTACTCTAAGGTTAAATCCAAGGATATCAGAGGTTAAAACACATTTCAAGAAGTTTTTAAGTACATTGTAGAATTTCTGTTAAACTTTTATGAAACTTTCCCAGAGCTTAGATGTTACTTTCCAGCAAAATAAAGATTATTTTCCAAAACCTTCACATATTAAACCAGAAGTCTGTGGGACATAAATGTTACTGCCCTTGAAGATTAAATCGGCCTATCAAACATTTGATAAAACAAAAAATTCGACATGCAACTTTTGTGCAAAAGTTTCCACAAAAGAGAAAAAAGAGCAGCAGCTTTCATTCTCATCGTAGCTCCAAAAAGGTGTATTGTGAGTTCCTTGAAAGGGTTGGAAACGCATCTGGACAGACTTATGAAAGTTTTTGAAAGTACATGAACATTTCAAGGAACAATTGAGAATATAACCACTACATCACTGTACATGCTGTATCATTTAAAGCAAACAAATTCGTTTTCTGTTATCATCTTATTTCATGTTCTCTCAGCGTGACAGAGAGCGAATCTTCTACGACTGTTGGTGAGGAAGCAGAGGATGACGAGGGTTTGCAGGAGCGCCTGGCCAAGAGGGAGGAGCGCAGGCAGCAGAGGATGAAGGAGGCTTTGGAGAGGCAGAAGGAACTCGACCCCACAATCATCTCCACCAATGGAACAGACGGGAGCCTGCAGGAGCAACCCTCCATTAATGACGACAACAAGCAGATGGAAGAGGAAGAGAAGCCTGTTGAGGAGAGAGTCATCGATACTGAAACTAACTCCTGGAGGAAGGAGGAAGAAGAAAACAAGGAGGATGAGAAGGTAATATGAGAACTGTTATTTTTTTCATGAAAAGCATTAAACAGGGGCGGAAAGTAAAGAATTACATTTACTCACATTACTGTAATTGAGTACTTTTTATGAGTAATTTGTAATTTTCTGAGTAGTTTTTGAAATATGTAATTTTTACTTTTACTCAAGTAAATTTTAACCAAAGTGGTTTTACTTTGCTACATTTAAAACCCCCTCACGTTACTGAGTAAAAAAATAAAAATACTGATGGTGAAAAAATTAAATGCAGCCGGAAATTTAAACCCCTGTGTCACGGAACCGACACTTAATCACCATTAAAAAATAGAAGAGGACTTTTCACTTTTAACAGCACTTTATTTACACAATTCAAACATATAAAAAATTGATGTCAGTTAAAAATCACTATTAAAGTAAAACAAGTGTCAGTTAAAATCATTAAATGAGGAGCTTGTTAATAACAGTGGCATCCTGTTGCGTTTTAGTTTGATTTCTGGTATATTTTGGGCATTTAATTTTGTGTGCATTTTGAAAACTTTAAAACGTAGTTTAAATTTCTTTATTTCTATCATGGTGTTGTCTGTTGGACAGTAGGACTGAAAATTGTTTGCACTTTATGGTTCAGGTTGTGACTGTCCTTGTGCTATAAGGAAGTTAGCCCAGCTGATCTTTTGCAAGTGTGGATGTCCACTGAAATATGCCTTGAAATCGATTAAAACCCCTTGTAGTCAATTCGATTCATGACTCATCCTTTTTTGCATTAAATAACTCAAAGTAACTAAGTAACTTTTACTCAAATTTGATTTTAAATGAAGTAATTTTGTACTTTTACTTGAGTAAATTTTGAGATGCGTAATTTTACTTTTACTCTGAGTAGAATTTAGGCAAAATAAAGATACTTTTACTCAATTACAATTTTTTAGTACTCTTTTCACCTCTGGCATTAAATGATAGAACTTTTCAAGAGGTATACAGAAACCGTACAGGTGCCGTTGCTTTTAAGTTCAGCGATACCACATTTTATTTTCAATTAGCCATAAATAATAAAATAAACCATAAAAAAATCCCCTTATATTTCTTGCAAATACTGATCTTCATTGGATTCCTGGAACAATGCTACACACAGAGAGGGTTTAGATCAGGCAAATAGATTTTTCAAACAGTAAACAAAACCGTTTAGAGCTAAATAAAGAAAGTAAATTTTTCACAATTGGCATCTAAATTAAAAGTCAGATGCTCCGACCGATCCTGGGCCTTCAATCCATGTAGGTTTGATCTCCATCACAAAAACTGAAAACAGTCAAACATAAACAAGACTTAAATAAGATATATTTTCATATACTAAAAATAATGTTTTCCCAATAAATCGGGGAACGGCTCTGCTGCTTTTTACTCTGGAGAAGAGGTAACCTGTCATTTTACCACCAGTAGCTTTAGTTATTATTTGGAACAAACCCTTTAAAGGATATAAATTAAACTACTGTCTTCAACCAGTTTTAAAAGTAAAACATTTTTTATTTATTTAAAAGTGTTAGAATATTCCCCTCTTTCATTTTCAAAGAGGCGCATACTGGACTGTGTGCCCAGGAAGGGTAAGGGGTGATGGGAGGATTAGTGAAGGAGCAGAGGGGAACTTATTCAGTGATGTGCTTTTTATTATTGATCTCATCACATGCAAAAAAACATTGCAATTATGTGCCCAACCATCACTTTGTCCCCCACCTGCATATCCACTGTTTATGCAACCGTACCCAAAATCTGGAGCTTTCTTCCCCTAGAATCATCTACATCACACTGATAAGATCATATTTGCACTACATGGTGAATCTTCAAAATAGCGCTAAGCTGCATTTTGCACTATTTCTATTTATTTATTTTTGCAGTGCTCTGAACCTTCCACATCAATGTCTTTTTGCACCAAGTCTCTCCCACACTGTCTACACTTGTATGCTTTTACACTGCTAAGCTGCTCATTCACTGTCAGAAGGCTGTAGAAACTAAATTTTGTATACACTTTGTGCAAAATGACAATAAAGTTTGTCCAATTCTAGAACAGGAACAACCCTGTGTCTGTTCTAGACCAGGCTGAAGACCTATTTGTTCAGATTGTCTTTGATACATGAGGGTTATAGACCTGGTAAAATGAACCAAATTATATTTATATGTAAAGTTTACTTCTTGTACTTTTAGTTTTTAATTAATTTTGTACAGCACTTGATTGATTGATTGATTGATTGATTGATTGATTGATTGATTGATTGATTGATTGATTGATTGATTGATTGATTGATTGATTGATTGATTGATTGATTGATTGATTGATTGATTGATTGATTGTCTCCATAATTGTCTGGATATTAATGTAATGTTAATGTATAAATAATTTCTAGGAGACTAAGGCGGAGACAGTAACACCTGAAGAGGAGCCTGAGGAACCTGAAGCTGAGAAGGATACAGAGGAGGAAGCCGCTTCTGATGAAAACAAGGAGGAAGAAGATAGAAAGAGGAGAGAGGAGGAGGAAAGACAACACAAAGAAGAGGAAGAAAAGCTAAGGTTGGAGGAGGAGGAGAGGCAGAAAAAGGAAATGGAGGAAAAAGCACAGAAGGAGGAGGAAGAGAGGAAACTAAAAGAAGAGGAAGAAGAGAAGAAAAGGAAGGAAGAGGAAAAGCAACAAAAGGAGATGGAAGAGAGGCTCCGGAAAGAGGAAGAAGAAAAACAAAAGAAAGAAATAGAGGAGAAAGTGAATGAAGAAGAAGAAGAGGAAAAACAGAGAGGGGAGATGGAGGAGGAACAGAGGACAGAGGAGACAGAGAAGCAAAACCAGGAAGAGGAAGAAAGGCAGAAAAAAGAAGAGGAGAAAAAACAGAGAAAAGAAATGGAGGAAAAAATGAGGAAAGAAGAAGAAGAAAAACAGAGACAAGAACTTGAGGAGAAGAAGCGAAAGGAAGAGGAGGAAAAGCGAAAGAAGATAGAACAGGAGAAGAAAAAAGAGGAAGAAGAGAAGCGGAAAAAGGAGATAGAGGAGAAGAAAAAAGAAGAGGAACGGAGGGAAAGAGAAGCAGAAGAGAAAAAGAAGGAAGAGGAGAGGAGAAAAAAGGAGATGGAAGAGAAAAAGAAAGAAGAGGAGAAGAGGAAAAGGGAGGCAGAGGAAAAGAAGAAAAAAGAGGAGGAGGATAAACGCAAAAAGAGAGAGGCAGAAGAGAAGAAGAAGAAGGAAGAGGTAGGTATTAGACCAATAACATCAGAACTCAGTGGATATTTATGATAATTATTTTATCATATTTATCAGATAATCAGATTAATCCTGTGATTATTCTGTGGTCTGAGGTCACAGAATAGCCACAGAGTCATTGAACTGCCATTATTCCTTAACTACAATGCTTTGAAAGTTAACGATTTTAATTTTCTGTTTTGTTTTTCTCTGTAAAGGCGGAGAAATCAAAGAAACTTGGCTTTAAGGAAAAGGTAAAACAAAACTAGCAATTTTTTTATTTTTATTATTTTTTATTATTATTATTTGCAGCATGAGTAAAAGGTTATACACACTGATCATGAACACCGCTGTTGTAATAACTAACATTTTAAATACACTTCTGAAAAAAATTTATTGTTGTATTTAATGTTTTTGAGTATATGAATGAGTGCTACAAAAATAACCCATTAATTTAGATAAGCAGGACTGGGTAGAAACCAGCAGGGTACAGCTGCAGCCGGCTGGTATAGAATATTATAATGGATTTTCTATGAACACAGAACCTGCAACAAACAAATACCTCCATTACTACCTGGATTAATGTTTCTAAGCGATTTTCAGATAAAAAATATTTTTTGCAGCCATCGACACTGTTACGGGTGCTGATCAAGAAGGAGGCCCCCATTTTAAAAGACAAGTTTTCAACTGAAATTTGCAGATGTAAAATCAACAACAACATGACTGTTCTGGGACCTAGGCAATTGAAGAAGCTCTGCCTTATATCTGTTTTTTTTATATCAGAATTAGGCAGAGCTTCTTCAATTGCCTAGGTCCCAGAACAGTCATGTTTTTGTTGATTTCATCAGAAATCTTTTGGCTTGTCCAATTTTACATCTGCAAATTTCAGTTGAAAAGTTGTCTTAATGGGGCCTCATTCTTAATCAGCTCCCTCTTAGGTAACAGCAGTCTAAAGCTGGCATTACTTTGGACAAGGACACAGATGATCCAAGCTCTTCCAGTTTTTGTAGACCTTAGCGTGTGTAGTTCTGATAAAACCTTTATTGAAAGCTATAAAGAATGGTTTTCAACACAAATTTCAACAGGATATTTAGTTGCATAACGATAACAGAGGTATTTTACTTTCACAAGTGGACTAGTACGGCTATCGCCGCAGTATTCCGCTTGTTTTATGCATATAAATTGCTTTATTATAATTCTGCAGGGAGTTTTACAGATCATATGGACACTGCAATGTAAATAGAACAGGAAAGAAAAAACAGAAAAAAAGGAGAAAAGATGAAAGAAAGAGGAGATAAAAGGGGGATATCCAAATTTTAAAATATCTTTTTTAATCACTGACATAGTTTTTCATATCATCGTTTCCCACAAAAGCAAACAAACACACAAAAAAACTAAATATACCTAAATTATACATAATACTCATGGCCATAATGAGTGTATTATTATCACACTGTGCCTTTTCATTGATGGCGTGTTTTTAATCCTTATTCAGAATGAGCCTTCCAAGCAGAACGGAGCCATTTTTGAGAATAAATTGAAGAAAACAGAAAAACCATCAAGGTAAAACATAATAGATTTATTTTGCACACATTTTTTATAATCACTGGAAGGAAAAAAAAAATGAAATACATTTGCAAATTTATAGCCAGTGACACATATATGTTTCCCTCATATTATAAGATTATACTTTTGAGTTTGTTTATTATACTCTCTAATTATTCAAATACAATATGAAAGCTAACTAGCTGTACCACCTGCTGTAATCACATGATCCTCATTGTTTAGATCTGCTGTTATAAATACATTTTCAATACTGTGTGAGCAGGGACAGTGTTCTTGCCACTAAGGCAGAAGACGAGGAGCGAAGGGAGGCCGAGCGGAAGCTGCTGGAGCTGAAACAGCGGCGAAACAATGCTGAAAGTGAGGAGATCGAGAAGATGAGGCAGAAGCAGCAGGATGCAGAGGCTGAGCTGGAGGAGTTGAAGAGGAAGAGGGAGGAGAGGAGGAAAATCCTGGAGGAGGAGGAGAAGCAGAGGAAGAAGGAGCAAGAGGAAAAGAAAGCCAGGGAGCAGGTGAACTAGAGTTTCTTATGATGGAAATATTTGCATCTCTAGTCAGAAGGTCACATGCATTTATGGTCATGTTGAAACACTTTCAGTGATGATATCAGAGGAAGTTGAGTAACATTAAACTACCGTTTCTTCTAATAGTTCTCAAAGGAAAACACCGCCTCAGCATGACGCCACCATCACCACACTTAACAGTTGATACCGTTTTCAGCTGTAGAGCCTCATCTTCACTCCTTCAAATACCGTTCTTAAATATTGTTGCAACCTTTTCCTCCTCTGCCATTAAAGCTTTTCTTATAAGGTATTTATCATGTCCATGTGTGGAGCAGCAAATTACAATTAGACAGAGATGGGAAGTAACTAAGTACAAATACTTCGTTACTGTACTCAAGTAGATTTTTCTGATATTTTTACTTTACTCTACTACTTATTTTTATGGCGACTTTTTACTTCTACTCCTTACATTTTTAAACAAATATCTGTACTTTCTACTCCTTACATTTGAAAAAATTGGCTCGTTACTTTAGTTTTGAATCATTTCAATGGAGTTACCGTTATTATTTTTCACGTCACCAATACCAAATTCAATCTAATTGGATGGGAATCTACGTTGCATTTGACGCACCACTACAAGATGAATCGACAGATTCGGCGGTATTCATTGGCGGCGAATCATTGCAGCTTGGTGGCGGTGGCGTTAGCATAGTAGCATGGACGACGAGATGATTGAAAATGAACACAATGGAGATCTAGTCCTATTGGCAGACATCCATTTAAAATGTAGGCAACGGCATGAAAAAAGTGGTTTCTACTTTTACTTTTATACTTTAAGTAAATTTACAAGCCTGTACTTTGTTACTTTTACTTGAGTAAAGAAGTTTAATCAGTACTTCCACTTTTACCAGAGTATTTTTTAACACAAGTATCTGTACTTTTACTCAAATACAGAAAGTGAGTACTTTTGCCATCTCTGCAATTAGACTTCAAGGTTTTTATTACGTTCTTTGTCTATATTGAGGTCATACACACTTCCCTGTGGGCAGAGACAGAAAAGTTTCACCATCATTCACTTATGAGGCCTGGAGTTTTGATGGTCTTTTAAGTTTTCATTCGTATCCTGAACAATTTCTTTCATCTGACGGTCGCAGGTTAGGTCTGATGGCTGATACAAGAACATAACAGCATGTTTGAACTACAAAAGGATTCCAAAAAAAGCGAGATCTCTGAGATTTACCAAATCTGTCTTTGAGAAGCTGTCAAATACTCCATCAGAAGTACCAAAACCTTATTGATGGCTACAAAGAAGTGTGCAGTTTCAGCTTTTTGAAGGAAATTTAACCTTAGAGGTATTCAATAATTTGTATAAATCTGAGGTGGTATGTTAGATGTTAAACCTGCACCAACAATCTTGTTTTTCTAGTAGTTGAAGCGGTTTCCTTTGTTTTCAGGCTAAAACAAGCCTTTAAAGAAGACAACTAAGAATAGAGGAAAAGTTATAAGCTCCAAGCTCATATCGCAGTAATCCACATATTGTGGGGTACATTCTAGCCTATGATCTGAGCTGTTTAACAATGAAAATGTATTAAGTTCTTAGAAAGCATCCCATCACTCATTTGCTTTTAATGTGATGCAATTTTGAGAAAACTGAAAACCATGAACCAAACCTGAAAAAAGCATTATATGTGCACTTCATTTAACATTTAACAATTTTTGGACTTTTCCAACAGGAGGAGAGAAGGAGGATGAGGGAAGAGATAGAGAGAAGAAGAGCAGAGGCTGCAGAAAAGAAGAAACAAATGGGGGAAGAAACAGCAAAACCTGATTTCACTATCAGTCCCAAAGGCTCCTCTAAGGTGACATTGCAGGAAAAAATTACTTATCAAAGTAAACATGCATTTAAAAAAATACCGCCCATACAAGTAATTTGCAGTTCTGATGGTGTGTAGCACTCCACATATATAGTCTGCTATACAGAAAGGAAGAGACCAATTTTCTAAGGAGACATCTCAGTAAACTTGCCTCATTTCCAACTCCAACTAAAATCAAAGATTAGATTGAAATGAATAACTAACACCAAATTTCTGCCGGTAAAAATCATTATCATAACTGACAAAGAGCAAAATATAGTTGAAAAAAACCTATAATGTTTTTCTTGAAATTTAGGAAGATTGAAAACAATATTTGTGCGTAAAAGTGTGAAAACAATTCTTCATATTTTATTTTTATCTAGCTAAAGGAAGACTTAAAGGATAATTTTTTTTTTAATTAGCTTTTAAAGGATCGTTTTGTTTGGATATGGGAAAGGGGAAATGGGAAGATTTCTAAAAGAAAACCTGCCTTTTTTTTTAAAGAGAAACAATCTGCGCGTTTCGCAGCTTGCTGATATTCAGTCCAATTTCTCAGATAGTATCGAACAGCAGAAGATATTTCTGTCTTTGTACGCCAGTGCAATTATTCCGCTGTCTCTACTTATCAACTAGTCTTTAATTTGACTGTATGATCTGGTTGAACTGTAAAGTGCCTTGAGATGACATGTGTTGTGAATTTGGTGCTATATAAATAAACTGAATTGAATTGAAGTGAATAGTCCTGCTTTCTGCATGCATTGGTAACTTTGAACAATCCTCTATTGCAGATCGGGGAAAAGGCCGAATTTTTGAGCAAGTCAGCTCAGAAAAGGTGTGTCAGATAATGCATATTTTAACATATATAAATAACGAACCACTGTTTCATCACAAAAAAATAAAACTCTTACATTTTTTCATCCTTCCAACAGCCCAGCCAGAGTATCACATACTCCCTTTGTGCCTAAGATTGGGAGCAAATTGGAACAGTTTACCTCCGCCGTTCAGGTAAATATCAGAAATTCTTGTATTTAAACTACTGTTCAAAATAAAAACGAGTGGTTTATGTAGTCGGTCATAGCATTCAGAGCTTTCACTGCAAAACAGGATGTCTAAAAACAAGATAAAAGCACTATATCTAAGGGAAAAGATGTTCAAAGTGAAATTATTTGTCCATATAGCAAGTCATGCATGAGAAGATTTATTGAGTTAAGATTATAGCACAAAGTTGCACACTTAAAAGAGAAAAATAACACCTTAAACAAGATAAATTATCTAAATTAAAGGTATTCTTATATCTTGGCAACTCAACTTTACTTAATAACCCTTAAAACAACCCTAGCTGCCACAAGGTGCTCTACATACTAAACAAAGTTAAAAAATTTATAAAAACAACAAATGTATAAAACAAATAAAATAAATTCAATACATTTAAACAAGTAAAACCACATTTAAAAAAAAGCACAGAGACAGTTTAATGCTGTGTTGAAAGACAAAAAATAAAAACAGCTTTTAAGATGAGTTTTAAATATAGAAAATAAGGAGGATTGTCTAATGGGGAGGGGGAGCTCATTACACAATTTTGAGGCAGCAACTGAAAAAGCTCTGTCCTCTCTAAGCTTTTGTTTGGAGCTCCAGGAGCAGCAGAACCAAGAAAAAAGACCAGAGTGGAAATTTACTTAACGGCTAAGCAATGGCACTGTATAAAAGTTAGAGCTTCAGAGGATGGTAAAGCTCATAACGTATTTTCTTAGCCTACTGGGAATCTGTAGGCAAGATCTTAAAAATTATGCTCAAAGGCAATATCTATCCTCTGACTGAGATGAGTTAGTATTAAAGATTTAAAACACCTGTAATGCCTAAAAACACATGCAGGTGTTATAATGTAGTCGAAAAATGTGGTTTCATAAAACATTGACTCAAACATTGACTTTGGACTGGGGTCCGAATAACAATGCCTGCTAGGATTCTCAGATTTTCCACAAAAATTATTATTATTTTTTTTTAAAGTCAATCTGCATGACGCCATTTAGAAATTATTATCATCATAAACCTACAAAGAGATGACGATATTCTGCACAGCTGTCAGCTTTTAATGAAACACAGAATGACAGGAGGCGTGGCACTGATGTCAACGATACTGAAAAACAGCGTATTGTGGAAATCCTGATGTTGGCAGAACTAAATCTTTTCTTTTGAATTTTTAATGTTGCATTTTTCTCTTCTATTTCATGTTTACCTTTGTGGCAGATGGTAAGCTAATCATACAAACAATTGTGATAGGGAAATTCTATCTTTAGTGGCACAGTGGGTAGCACTGCTGCCTTGCAACAAGAAGGTTCCTGGTTTGATTCCTGGCCTGGGGTCTTTCTGCATGTGTGGGTTCTTTCTGGGTTCTCTGGCTTTCACATACGGTCCAAAATAATGACTGCAAAGCTAATTGGCTTCTCTAAATTCTCCTTTAGTGTGTGTGAATGGTTTTGTCCTGTTTACCTCTGTGTTGCCCTGCGATTGACTGGCGACCTGTCCAGGTTGGACCCTGCCTCTTTCCGATTGACAGCTGGAGACAGGCAACAGCACCCCTCACAACCGCGTGACAGGAAATGGACAGATGATATATGTGTGGTAAAATACTTTAATCAGGCCTCAGAGCTGCAAGGCTACAAGATGTCTAAGGGAGGAGACTAGTTTGTCCTACTAGGGAGTGTTTTGCATAAAGATAATCCTTCTCATAACATTATAGACTTTTTTCTCAGGTTTTATTATATTTATATAATATATTTATATTTATATTATATAACATTTAAGCGGTTTCTCCTGCTGTCTGTAATTGTTTTGATTAACTGTGCTCTGAAAACCTTCACAGCCTTTCTGCAGGATTGAAGTTAAGAATTGTTTTCTAACCAGAACAGTAAAGAACATCAATCTGGAAGGGCTGCTATGATTGTCTGATTCTTTTTTTTGCAAAGAAGGATAATAAAAGGCCGCGTGAGTGATTTACCATCTATCTTCTTTATTTAACTTGATTGCATGGCTGAATACTTTATTTTCCCACAACACAATATATTAATACATCGATGCCTCACCCTACAAAACTCGTTCATCGTTACACAAGTCAGCTGATGCAGAACTCTGCCTATCCTGGTTGGCCATTCAAGAGTCTAACATAGGCAGGCGGACTTCAACGTCCTTGCCACAAAAAATATTGATTAGCAAGGTTAACGTTTGTATAGACAGATCTACGTTCAATTCCTGTCTGCCAGTCACTGCATTGCTGCATATGGATATAAAATCATTGAACACTATGATTTTATTCCACAGGGAAACAAAGAGGTAAAATCCCCCAAGTCTCCTTTGGCTGATATTCCTACAGGAGGCACGCGCAACATCAAAAGCATGTGGGAGAAAGGCAGCGTGAGCAGCCCCCCTGAAAGCCCAGCTCCTGAAAACAAGGTGAGATGGGATCTCTGAGAGGATTAGATACATTGTCTGACATCAGAATATATATTAAAGATGAGAATCCCTCCTGCAGGAAGTGACTGGCATCAAAGGAAGTGTGACAGGACGGAAGGGAAAGCCTGCAGAAGCAGAGAAGACACCAGCTCCTGCTCCATCTCCAGCTCCGGCTGCAAAATCACCAGCAGCAGCTGCAAAGCCAGCAGTAAGACCCAATAAATCCTCGCCTTTATGCAACAAGTATAATAAGACACCATTGTTGTTTTGTAACAATAATCCTGTGATATTCTGTACATGTTAATCTCTTCCCTTTGCATGTCAACATATCAGTCTTTTGTAAGCTGCAGCTTTTGCATCAGAGCTCCATGACTGAACATTGCAGCCGACAGGAGTCTAGTGACCCCACATGGGCTGTTTAGCCAACAGCATCCATCACAGCTCCTTTTATGTTCCTCAATCCCTGTCAAAGTTTTAATTGGTCTTTTTGTGAAAGGTCCTTGTAAAAATGGGAAATACTGCAAATAATGTAACAGTAAAAATCTTCAAGGCAGCATTTATGTATTGATACTAAGCTTTTCATACCTTACTTGCCCAAGTAACAGTGCATCAGTTTTTGTTCTTTTTAAAGGTTAAAATGTCTTTCCTTTAAACTTAAAAGCTATCATTCTACATCACAGCACTGAAAAAAACAAAAACAAAGAAAAATTCATGAACACACAGGAAACTGAGAGACATATTTGCTTATTACCAAACTGTTTCAGTAAGTTTAGAAATTGGGTCACTTCTGAACAACCACTTGGAGGACATTGAGTTCTGTTCCAGAAGTAGGACACAAGCTGCTAATCCCCCCAGCTTCTCTGGAGACATCACACCATCTCCCCTTACAGCAGTGTTTCTGAATGACGTGCCACATTGTTCTAAAGCACAATTTATGAGCAAAGTAGCTTTGGAGGTCAAATGTGTTGACCAGGGTGGGATCTGTTGGCTGAGTGCGAAGGAACTTTTACAGCAATGCTTCCCCCTAATGGTAAAAACGCAAAACAGCTGTCTGGAGGACATTTACTACTGTACTTCTAGGTTTATGTGATATATTATGCTGTTTTTACCTTTTATGTATTTTTGATTTCTTTGTTATTCAAAAGTTAAGTACACAAAAAAAGTTTGTTTTTTTTCTCAAAATTTTCTTTATGTTTTTTCATCAAGCAGATGCTAAAGAAAGCAGAATTGGCTAATTAAACACATTAAAACAAATTAACATTAAAATATGATAATAGAAAATAGCACAGACAACAGAATAGGTAAGTAATATGTAAATAATTGGTAACAGAGTTAATTTATAAAAAATCTCCAGTCTCATGTTAGTAGCTACATTATTTTCTTTAGATGACAACATCAACCTTTTGATAAATTTCTAATAGGCCAAAATAACAACCACATGTTATACATACTTTGGCTGCTAGATTGAGCCCAGCATGATCCTTAGTGATCTACAGGGGAAGTTAAAAGTTTCTTAATCATATTGCATTTGAAGCCCATTTATCCTGGGGTCGGCTCTGAAGCAGGCAGCTTTTTTGTCGTCAAAGATATTAAATTAATGTGTTTCTTCCTTCTTACCTGAGCCCAGTTTTTAAATTAATATTATTGTCTTTCTTTAATGCCACAGGAAACCAAACCAGGTGAAGTTGGTAAGCGGGGCATGTGGGAAACCAAGAGAGCTTCTACACCTGCCAAGGTAAAACACAGACACACTTTATATCAATGTCTTTAAGGATAATTGTCAATGTAGAAATGTTTGTCTCTTTAATCCTCCCCAGAATATGCAAAAATGATAGAAGATAGAATATAATTGAATAGAATAGATTTGAACTTTGTTGATCTCACAATGGATTCCGTAAAAATTCAAAAAATATCCACTGGACTTGGTTTCCAAGATTTGAAGACGTTTCGCCACCTCTCCAGGAAGCTTTCTCAATTCGAATGTCTGGATCCGCAGTGAGTTTGAGTCTTTATATAGACAAAGCTCAGACTAAGACTCAAACTCACTGCGGATCCAGACATTCGAATTGAGAAAGCTTCCTGGAGAGGTGGCGAAACGTCTTCAAATCTTGGATATTGGATATTTTTTGAATTTTTACAGAATGACTATGACCTGGATGACTGAGAACCTTCATCAGCATCTCACAATGGAGAAATTCACTAGTGATAGAAGATGATAGAAGATGCAGATCTTTAGGGAATGAAACCAAACTATCTGTGATGCTTTATTTTTTACTTTCAAGACATCCAATGTGCATACAGCTCCTAACCTTTATCCTAAATCTACGGTAATTAAGTTTAGACTATTTGGAAAAGTATCAGGTAACAGTTTCAGGAGCTGTGGGGATCTAATCACACTTAATTATAAATGCTCTGTGATAATTAATGAAAAAAGTCTCACAGCTTACTACAAATTAACTAATAATGTAATAGGATGTAGTAACTGGAACTGAATCTGCCTTTATGAATGAACTGGAATGCGTTGCACTGGACCTCTTTGTCTAATGAAGTTCTTTTGAACAACTTTTTTTTTTAATTTTCAGTTTGTAAAAACTGGAATTAAATCAAAAATAATTGATGGAGATTTACGCCATTACTTCATACTGTCTTTTTTGTTGTTTCTAGGTGGCGGTTGGAGGAAAAAGCAAGTTTAATTAGAAAGTCTCAAACTGTGAGTAAGAGATGCGTATTCTACACTTTTATCCATGGGAATTTTTTTATGCATCTTCTTGTTTTGTTTGCTAAATCCTTTTATACAGTTTTAGAACGTGCAAAAGTGATAAAGCAGCTGCAGGATATAAGGTTATAAGGCTTTAATGGTTACTAATGAGCCATGTCTTACTGTACATGCAGCTTCCTGATTTCAGAGCAGTGTTGTTTAAAGGCATCAGAGAGTTGTTCTCATAGAAAAATCTGCTTTAGGTTTACTCAGAATATGACCTTAACCAACGGCAAATTTAAGCCTGTTTTTATAGCTCAGCAGAAAGTTTTTAAAACCGTATTACTTTTGCATGAAGCGGTTTTCTTTAGCAGAACGGTTTCATGACATCAGTCACAATACGTTATTCTATCACAGTTTAATTGTGTTTCCTCCCATGAGTCATTTCTGATTAACTCTTAGCCAACCAAGAGTTTAATCTGCCCTTTGCAGTGCTTTAAAAATATATTTATAGCTTTTTTTTTTTTTTTTTACATGATGTCATGTTACAGCCACAATTATAATTGAATTTTATTGGGATCTTATCTTTCATAAAAAGTGACATGTTTTTTATATGTTTGTTTCAAATCGGAAAATGTGAATATTTATTCTGCCCTATTTACACTGATACCCCAAATATAATTCAGTGCAATAAAAGCATATAGAGTTCACATGTTTCACATGTTTATGTGAAATATGTTCACAGGTTTCTTAGAAAACAGTAAATATGCAGGTTTATAAGTAGTCACAGAGCACCAGCAAATTCGTTATAATAAAATAGAGCACAACTGCAAACCTACCAATATGTCACTGGGAAGACTGGGAAAATAAGAAATTCATTAGAGAATAAGCCAAGAGGATCTTGGTAACTCTGGAGGAACTGTAGAGATCCAAAGCATTTCAGTTAAAGGATCGTCTGTTTTAGCAATTTTAATAAACTATGTATAAAGACAGATTTCGTGTAAATGAAGGTTTATATGAGACCATTATTAATCAATTTTTGGAAACTTTCTAAAAACAAATAAAATCCTGCTACATCTCACTGAGCACACATCATCATAATGGCAAAACATGGTAGTGGCTGTATTAGGCTGGGAAGTTTTTCTTTATTTCAGCAAGAATTTTAGTGAGCATGAGCTACTTTGCAAAAAAGATCTGGCATCAGTCTCTAGATCTTGAAAGCTAGTAATGACATAACTCCCAAAAAACTTTTACTGGAGTAATATCCGGTTTTCCAAACCTTTGCTTTAGGAGGTTAAATATAAATACAATCCACTCTTCCCCAATTTTTATTTGTAAAATATTTTTTAAAACAGTTTTGTGGATTAAAAAGTGTTGAGCTTAACTCTGTGTTAGTTTGATGATATTTTGACTTACAAAAGGAATCAGGCTAATTCAGTTAAATGAAGGACCGCGTCAAACAGGCCAGACAGAGCAAGTTAAACCATCTTTCATCCTTATCAGTCTTGGTGAAGTATAATTCCCTGTTATCTATCCAGGCTCTGCTGATCTATACTCTGTAGGGATTTCTTACAGTAACTACAACAGCCGGCCCACTGTGCTCTTTAGAGGAGTAGTTGCTCTCTGTAAATCAGATCTCTTGCAGGGGATTTTTGGGCACAGGTTCAGATCTGTGGCACCAAGGTCTATATTTAAAAACGTTCACCATGACCTTGTTTCCCAGTATAAAGAAGTTCCAGACTCCTGACGTGTTTTTAAAACACTGTTTGGGCAGTGCCACCTGGATTGCCCAGTGATGTGTAGAGAGCCAGTAAGCTGTCAGGCATACCAGAGTGCAGCTGCTTGATTTTCACATTAAAACTGAGTGCTGGGAAGGATTACGAACACTTTGAGCAGCAAGTTGTTCTCTTTCACCGGGCTTATTCACATACTGATGATTAAGAGTTCAGTTTTGCTTAAGAGCAACACAGGGCCAGATTACACTTGTAAAGTTACCACCAATTTGTGCAAATTCTGATTTCACAAATAATTGTTTCCAAACATCAAGATTTATATACTTTTAAAGAGGAGTAAAGAACACAATCTATCTATCTATCTATCTATCTATCTATCTATCTATCTATCTATATATATATATATATATATATATATATATATATATATATATATATATATATATATATATATATATACATAAATTCAATTTTTCTCAGGAATTATTGAACAACAAATTGCATAATGTGAAAACTTGATATATATGACATTTGTGTAAATAAATTAAAACACAAAAACATTTAAACATAATAATAATTCTGTTACTCATTTATGTTACATATAAAATAAAACTAATTCATGTTATTATTTACACGCTTTGCCACTTAGAATTATCTCTTTTGCTTCCCCTATTTCCATTGATCAGCCTTGAAATGTTATCGTTTCCATATCTGGTAAATCTGGTAAACTGACTATCATTTGCAATGGAACAAAATATCCTATATGGCTTCACTATTGATAGAGAAAATCAGAGCAGAAATCGAGCAATAAAATTCTCTGTGAAGAATTGTCTCGGTATAGGTTGTGACCCCAAGGTCCCTCAGATAGAGGAGGAACCGTCCGACATGTGTTACCTGCGTGTTCCAGTATGTTTTCCTTTAAAACAAGGAGCACAACCACTTTATACCACATTTGATCTTAAGATGTATCACATAACAAATGTCAGGGAGCCTTCACTGGTGGATGACCCTCGTTACATTTGATCCCTCAGAGCTCAGCATGCACAAACATTGCAGTCTGCGCTGTGTTTGCACATTTTCTCACTCTTCTGATGTCTTTCTGGAAGCCAGCAGAACTAGCTACATCTACAAATCAGCCAGTAGCTGTGAGGATAGAGGGAATACATTTATGACATTATGTGAGGTGTTAGTAAAAAGCTAATTTTCCTGTTAACATAGACATGGGTGTATTCGAACTTTCTCTTAACATCTTTCAGTGGCCAAAGCCTCAGCTAAAATATGATAAAACAGGTCTGATAACAAAGAAATACCTCAAAACAGGTGTGCAAGGCTTGTACAGATGTACACAATAACATGTTTGCTTGTATTTGCTGCTGAGGGTGCTTCCACAAAGTATTGAGAAAAAGGCTGCAAATATTTATTTATATGTGACTTATATGTGGAGTGAATACTTTCTGGATGTCCTGTAAACGGAGAACCGTTTGTCAGATGTCAGCTTCAGCCATAAATAGCGATCCTTGTTTGTCCCTCCCAGTGTTTTCATGAGAAATGGACAGCTGAGGTACGAAGTGAAGGGCAAATGATCGAGGTTCAGCCACAAAGACGCTTTTACTGATTTTATAAGGTGCCTAAAAAGCACAGATTATACATTTTACTAAAGGAAAAGAGATGTAAAGGTTTTGATTAATAACCTTGACACTAATGCTGCTTTACACCTACTAAACCTTTAGAATCTATACATAGCAACTTTGACAGATGCACTGACTAATAGAGCTGATGTCTTCCTCTTTGCAGGCTTAAAAAAACAACAACCAATGACTTCATGGTAAAGTTGCTTCCTGACGGAAAAGGTTTCTGCTCTCCTTCGTGCCCCTTTACCCTTCACAGCACTTCAAGCTCCCAGCACAATGAAAACAGAGGATCTCAGCTGCTCATCTTCAGCAACAGCTACCCATCTGCTCTCTGTTGAATGATACACCCTGTACTGCTATATGTTGGATCACCTTCAACGCTAACCGAAAAGCTAAAAAGATTACACCTGATTTTATTTAAATCTGGATCGCTATGGCTGTTGGATAAGACATATAAACATTTATTAAATCGATTATAATCCGCTGTAAAAGTGTTACGATTAAAATATACTATTACGATAACTAAAATGCATCTGAACAATGATTAGTCGACAAAAAGAATAAGTGATTTAAGCAACCTCTAATTGCCTACAGACCAACAGAGGGTTCCAATAGTGCTATAACGATGACACAGGTTGGGTTAACTAAATTATTATCTATAAACCCATCTTGATAGTAATTCTTTAGTTGTATATTGGAAATAACAGAGGTAACTATGCTATGCAAAATTTGGTTTGGCTCAAGTTTTTAAATCAAGTCAGTGAGACAGTGAAGAAAATATTTGTTGGCTGCATATTTTTAAATGATTCAGTTTCTTTTATGTCACATTTCTATGCGTTATATTAGTCAGTCAGTCAAAAGTAAGGAGTTAAAACTTTGAAATTATTTGTTTTTTAGGTAATTTTTTAGGTTTATTTTTTGCGGGATCTCGCAAAAGTTTATTTTTTGCGGGATCTCGCAAAAGTATTGTGGGATCTCGCAAAAGTTTATTTTTTGCAGGATCTCGCAAAAGTATTGCGGGATCTCGCAAAAGTTTTACGGGATCTCGTAAAAGTTCTTTTTTCCCCCTCCATGTCCCTTTAGGGCCTCCGTAAGTTCATGTTAATTTGCTTCAGATGGTAACAACATTGCTTCTAATGCTTTGGTAATTTTTTAACTCTGTGACGTTGAGTGAAACCACCAAAGATTCATATTTCAAACCAAAAATATTAAAGGAGAATATAAACCTATTATTAACAGGTTTAGTGATACTTTTATAGCAGCAGTGTCTGGGACACATGTCCTGTTAAATGTGGAATAGAAAAGATTATTTTAAACAGAATAAAGCACCTGCTAGATTTAGTTATTTCTATTATTGCACACAGTATTAGATGTTTGTGTTATTCCACCCTTTATAGAGGAACAATGTGATGAAAAGCTTTTTTTACCTTGTCGTCTAGTCAGACTATATGTCAGTGTATCAGCCCCCTGTATACTGCTTTATAGTATTTACTGTTTTTTGCAGGCAGGAATATTTTCAGCCATAGAATAAAACACATTGTGCCTTAATAGCAGACACAGACCAATGTTTGATCAGTCTTAACTCTTTTAACTTGACTATGACACTTATTCTGGAGACGCCGCCTGTCATCTGAATAATGAGAAAACATCCTGTACATAATTTAACTTTGCTATGGTGCATTTTTGATCAGTTAGAGGTCATCAGTGCTTTGAAGTTTCTGTTCTTACTACTTAGTTTGTTAACCAATGAGTTTGTTGACCTTTAACAAACAATTTCCACTTTAGAAGAGATCAGTTTTTATTTTAAAGGAAGAACAACTTCAAACTCAATGAACTGACTTTTTGGACTGGTTGTACAAAGCGCTCCACTTTTTGTGCAGATAGCAACACAACATCCAACCTACACTGGAAAAACAAAATCTAGATAAATAATTTTTTCTTAAAATAAGTGCATTTGTTCTTGGATTGAGGAGGTAAAAGGGACATTTTGCCAATGGAACAAGAGAATTTAATCTTAAAATAAGTAAATACAATTGCATTGTCTAATTTCAACTGCTTATTATCTTATTTTAAGAGTAAAAATACTAATTCCAGTGGCAAGCAATCGCATTAACCTACTCAAATTAAGGATAATTTAGAGATTTTTACTTATTTGTAGATCGTTTTTTTCCAGTGAAAGTTTTCTGCTATCCTCACATCCTACCTTATGCTCTACCTTGACTCAGTCTGTAATAAGATGCATATCTATGGATCTACGATAGTATGATCTTTTTCACTTAATAACCTCTTGTCATTTTCTCAAGCCTGTAATTAAGTTCAAATTCACACTGAATGTCAGCAGTGCTCATTACAGTAGTTGCATCTGGACTACTTCACGTTTTTGTTGATTGCCTTGTTTGATTTATATTGGGTTGAGCAATAAATAAATAAAAGAGAGAGAAAAAAAAAGCTTTGGCTGTGTGGAATCACTTTTTAGCACCAAGAAGAAACCTTGTGGAGTTACAGCTTGTTGAAACATAAGGAGGTGCTGAAAGTTTCAGTGGCTGCATTATATTTTAACAGAGCAGGAATATACCTGCAGAATGTGTGTTAGAGTGCGAGTGAAACAGTCGTCTGATGTCCAGCTTCCTAACAATAGACTGGTTAGCCATAGGGTGCTGAAGTCACATGACTAGGAAGGGTTGGTCCGGGTCTCCTTGATGCTCGGCCTACTGGTGAAGCTCAAGGAGCTGAAGTCTGAAGTTGCTCATCTCTGACCTCTCTCTGTCTGGGTCACAGGTAAGAATGATCAGCAGGTTAATAGAACAATAGAAAAGTTTGTTGTTTTTTTGTTCTTTCTTAGTAATCGTGAATTCAATTATTCAAAGCATTTTAATTCTATAGTTTGAGACCCTAATAAGGGATTTTAAAGCGATTTATTCTCCCTGCTGAATCCTCTTAGAGTCACATTGATTTTCTTTTATTAATTTTTGTTGGCATTTAAAAAAATATATATTTAATAGAAAATTTGTTTCAGGTAAAAATTAATGTGTATTAACACTGCATCTAACCCGTAGCTTACCATTGTTTTCATTGTTTTAACACTAAATCATCTTTGTAATTTATCGTTTTTTTTTAGAGACATGTATGCTTTTCAGCTGTCATGGTTTTTATAATCCTTTTTCTTTTAACACCCCTTTGATATTTAGTCCAAAGCAAACATTCAGTTCTCTGTGAGCTGTTGCCAGCTCTGTTGTGTTGGTTAATGATCAGAAATATTTGCTGGTGTAAATATAGTCTGATGGGAGTCCATTTTGCAGAGCTCAACCTGAACCAAATGTCGGACACAGAGGAAGTAGCGGCCGAGGAGGCTCAGTATGTTATCAGTTCTCTCAACATTAAAATATCCATTTAATAATTGCAAAATATATCTAATACCTTTTATGTTTTTCTATTTTTGTATGTGTTGTGTCTTTCTCTCATTCTGAAGAGAGGGAGAAGGTAAGAATGCTGGGAGTTTATCTGCATTACCTACTTTTAATTTTATTTGTGTATGGAGCCACAAAGATTTTTTATGTAACATGTAGAATCAATAATCGTCTTTTAGTTCATGCCAGATGCAGATTCTTTTTTCTTTATTCATTAATTGAGATTTTAGGAATGATCACAGAAGATCAACCTTTATTATAACTTCAGCTGCTGCAGCTGTTGGAAAGGAAGCCATACTGGGGCTTAAATAATTTTGTACATTTTACTCGTGATGCTTTCATCTAAATTCAGGGATTGGTATGAATAGCCGAGATTACTCGAAAGCTGAAAGGTTTCCCATTTTTTTGCTGAATTTTCTAGAACAGTTTGTTAGGTCCACTGGCAGCTCTGATTTTCTTTTTTTCAAAGTATTCATACTGCTTTAGTTTTTTCACAAATTTTCTCATCATAAACAAAAATGCAATGTAATCTATCTATATTTTACCTAAAGACCGATGCATAGGAATAATTGTAAAGTGTAATAAAAATCTAGTTTTAACACTAACTATTTCTTAACAAATCTATTTCTTCAGTCAATAATTTTGCTAAGCTGCATTTTTCTGGTAGCAAATTTACATAATCTTACTAGATAGAAACAATTTTTAGCTTAAATGTAAAAACAAAAGAATTGAAAAATATTTGATATTTTTGAAATATTAATACTATTTCCTAAGTGATATTACTGTAAAAAATCATGAATAATGAACATGAAAATATATTATAAAAATATATATAGCAATTGTGTTGTGGGTATTCGGTAGCATCTTTGATCAACATTAAAGCATGAGGGTGAAAAGATGCAGGATATCCAAAAGCAATGTTTGCCTGCAGATCTAGATTGATCCTCACAATGAAACAGTTGAATAAGAAAATAGCCATCTCACCTAGAGCTGCAGCACCTGCTATTGAGCTGCACATTCGATTCAGGCATGTTGAATCAGGGTAAACATGCAGGATACAGACACATGGGGACTGACTTAAGAGGCCAATCCAATCCACTTTATTCATATAGCACGATTTAAATAAACACAAGGTTTCCAAAGTGCTGCACAAAAAAGATAAAATAACTAAAATAAATAAAAGTAAATAAAATAAAATAAAAGCACTGCCCGCACAGGATGAAAATATGCATGTGTATACATAAAATCAACACTCTACATGGTGTCAAAGGCCAAAGAAAAGAGGTGGGTTTTAAGAAGAGTTTTCAAATGAGAAGGAGAGGTGGCCTGTCTAATGTGCAGCGGCAATCCATTCCAAAGTTTTGGAGCTGCAACAGAAAACGCTCGATCACCTCTGAGCTTAAGCCTTACTTTAGGCACTGTCAGGAGCAGCTGATCAGCTGACCTGAGAGATCGGCCAGATATAAATGGTATTAGTTGAGCTGTGGTACTGTAGTTTGATGGACAAAACCTAAGTGGCTTACTCTGTTTTCAGAGTGTTGATGGTTGGAAAACAGCTTTAAAAAAGAAAAGGAAAAAAACACAAGTTCTACTATTAGTACAATGATGTCTCCTAGAATTATGTTTAAAGTTCTGTCCACCTCGCCTCCAACTCTGACTTGCTTTTCAGTCTCTGCTGTAGGAAAGCGTCCCCCACAGCATAACACTGCAATATATGTCAGTGGATATGTAGTCTCTAGGGTGATGTTTTGTGTTTCTCCCTGACACAAAGCAACAGGCTGATTCTGAGATGTGAATCTCTGCAGTTTCTCAGGATTTAACACAGAATGCATCATTCTGTTGGCAAATCAAACAACCATAAAAATGCATCTGTGATTTTAATCTATCTGAATACACAATGATTGTTAAATATATCTATATTGTGGTTTAAAAAGCATATTTGTGTTAATGACAAAAATGTTTCCTCCCTCAGATGAATCCAAACCCAAACCCAAGTAAGTGTTCAGCTTTTCTTAATTCCAATGTCTGACTTCCCATTTCCATCCGAATACGTTCATTAAAAACACTCTCTTGCCTTCTGCAGGTTTATGACAAACATAGCGGCCCCCAAGATGCCCGATGGGGAAAAAGTGGACTTTGACGTTAGTTAATCTCTTTCATATTATACTCTGTTTAATCTTATTAGATCTTCTAATGGCCTTTGTTCCATTTCTGCTGTCAGGACATCTACAGAAAGCGACAGGAGAAAGATCTGGCTGAGCTGCAGGCCTTGATTGAGGCTCACTTTGTCCAGAGGAAGAAAGAGGAAGAGGAGCTCATCGCCCTTGTTAACAGAATCGTGAGCGTTTCTGATTTAGAGGAGTTCAGTTTATCTGACGAGACTCTAGAATAAGCTGTAAATGTAAATGCTTTGTGTGTTTGTGGTGGATTTTTAAGGAGAAACGTCGTACTGAGAGAGCCGAGCAGCAGAGAATCAGGGCAGAGAGGGAGA